TTCCGTTACTGCCAACGCAGCTTCCGGTGCTGGCTCCGGGGCTCGATCGGCACACGCTTCCTCTTCGTTAACAATACAATCGACAACGATGGCCAATTACTACGAAGAACTCTCTCGCAAGTTCTTGACGTCTGGCAACACCTTATATCACGCCGCCGCTTGGGCGAATCGTACTCGTCGACAATTCGAACAGGTCACGATTAATTTCCTGCCTATCTTTAGCTTGGAGAAAGTTACTTCTACGCTCTTCTACTACGCTCGACATGTATCTATTGAATCTCTAGAGCATGGTCAGTCTCAATAATTCATTTGTGGTACAACATGTAATAATCTTCAGGAGTAGCTATACCCATGCAAACAATGTTCCCTTCCACTTCACCTTCCGCAGGCCAAAAATTTGATTCACTCAAAGGCACTCAACGACGAGCTCCAACCAACAACGTTCTGTCTAAATCTAGACCAGTCAATGAATTTGGCAGGATTAACGCTCAGGGCTCTACGAGAAAAGTCTTTATAGCAAAAGATGGAGGATTCTTCTTGTCAGTCAAGGACGAGTTACACGACTTGCGGAGAGTCAACACTCACGGACGGGAGGACGATCTGCGGATGGCGTTGGATAGGTGTATGGGTAGAGTTGGAGAGCTGGTCGGTTTGTTAGCCACAGCTTATTCGGCTTGAACCGACGTAAGAGTCAAGTCAAATTGGACGTGACGAGAGTTGTTTCCTCAGTTTCTACGTGTGGGCGGACATGTGGCATTGTCTTGTACGTCTTAAAAAGTTCTTTTGTTGTTGATATGGATATCTGACTCGGATTCGATTTATTTATCTCTCAAACTTGCTTCCTTCCATTCATCCCTATCTACTCATTCAGCAACCCACTTCCACTTCATCAACAAACTTCCCCTCTTCTCCAAATACCAAATCCGCCTCAGCATCGGTGCGTGGGATGAGAAATGGGTGAGTTTCCAACGATTCCTTTGATTGATACAAAAGTTGTCATCTTTCTCTAATCCCCTTCGATTTTGATTTCATTTCGTGTATAGTGTTACATCGTCTGTCGATTCGTTACCGTTGCCAGATCAGAGAAAACGAACACAAAGTCGAACTCCAAAACTCCGAAACCCAAGAATACAAACATCCCCCGTATACTCATCCAACCTCCGACTCCCCTTGTCCAATCATTATCACCACTATCACCGGCACCCTCCTCCAATTCATCTTCATATACACTACCAATGCACGAATCAAACGACCCCAACGGAGTCAAGCTCCACACCATTGCCGTCTCCCGGATCAGCTTCAAACACGGCCGCATAACTGTCCCCCCAGCGATCGTGTTCGCGACGAATGGGATGTCTGTGCATCCGTGGGAGGTCGAGGTGGATGCGAAGCCTACGAGTACGACTATGGATGCTCCGCTCACTCCTCCTTCCACTCCTCCACCTCCCTCTCTATGTCATGCCCTGGCTACAACCAGACCAGTCCCAGTACCCACCGCACGTTACCATACGTCCTACCCACCTCCCGTATGTCCTCTGCACCTCCCCAAGTACCACCAGACACCTCCCCAAGTATTTCTGACGCAGCTACCCAAACATCCTTCACCCCGACACGCGTACGAAAACCCTCTAGCCGATAACCCCTTTAAGTATTAATCTCGATTACCTCCCTCCCTCCGATTAGCTACCTCATGCCTCCAGATGTTCCCTTGTTCACTTCCCGTACCTATTTAAGTAATGCCGCAATGTCCTGAAGCCCCAGCTTGGTATATTTTGAACACACACCCTTTACATAGGTCCAGTCCCTGTCCCTTTGTACCTGCTACCTATACGGAATTCTCTCTACTCTCTGTTTCTCTACCTCTGTTTCTCTCTACTACTGTCTATTGTCTCTCTGATCGTCTATACGATCGAATATACACTTTTACTTCAAGTCTAAGCCTTCCGAGTGAGTCTCCGAGCTCCCTCGAACATTACTAAAGCTCCCCAACGCCTACCCGCTTGGTGAGCTACCCTTCCCCAAACCTCCCAGAAGCTCCCTAGCTACTTCGTAAGCTTCGGGACCTCGATCTAGGTAACGTCGAAGCTACCCCTCACGTCGAACTACGTATTGCTTCTCCGTTACCACCTCCCACACTCGAGGACGACCATCCTCAAACCTAGCCCCCAGGGACCTACCCTCCCTGGCGTATCCCTTCTCGGGAGCTTACACCCTCGAGACCCAGTTGCATAAACTACCTACTCGATCCTATATTGACGTTCTAGCGAGTACAACTCCTACTACGCAATATCGTACGGTTCCGCACTCTTCCTGAACCTCCCTACGCATTAGGGACCTCCCTGGACCTCCTAGGAACCCCTCAAGGGTCACCCTCTCGTCGTTCCAACCACTACTAGGTCATTCCCGTCCTCGGTCGCGGTTCTCGTAGCTCCCTTCGAGCTCCAGCCTGCTCCTAGCATGCTACAACATAAACCTCCACATACCAAAACCTACCCTAAGACCCATTTTGACCCAGGTCTTACACTCTATCTCCCGCCGCAATTCTCCCACTCTAACCCCCCACCCTCATGGACACACCACGTGCGCCCGCTCATTGACAAGACCCAGCGCGGGAGCGAGACGAAGCTAAGAGAGTTCTATTGGGGTGGGTGGAGAGATTAGGTTGACGTTGATCTAAGTTCGATATGGCATGCGGAACCTTTATCCCCATCCTCATCCTCATCCCCATCCTCCTCATCCTCATTCACCGCCTCCTACGACGACGACATTTTAGATTATCCATCCTCACCTGGGTCAATCACTCCACCTACTCCAATTACCCCACCCACCCCAATTCACGAATCAGATGTCGCTCTTCCCACCCAATCCTCAATCCCGCCCTCAACGTGGTGGAACCGCGCAACAGCAACGGGCACCAACACCCCTGCCAACGAGACCCGCAAAACCCAATTAGAGGTGTGCAGGACGGTGAAGCTCCAATTCCAGGAACCTCACCACCATCTTCACCTCCTCTTCCTGCGTCGGAAAGTACCACACAACCAACGGCAATACCTCCTCCCCCTACTCCCCAGCCAGCTCCTGCACCCCAAGACTCACGGTTTACGAATACTAGCCGTCCACAAACTCCTGTCGTTGGAAACAATACTGCGAGTCCGATGATAGGAAATCTCCCGGGACGACGTTGTACCGAATCGTCCTCGAGCGTTTCGCTATTAGCCGGTGGAGGCAGTCTTGCTGGAGAACCAGACGACGTAACCAACGCTAATAGTCTCGACAATTTACGGCAAGATATCGAAGCTTTGGAAACTCAAACGTCCTCCTTTGCGATTTCGTTTTTACCCTTGCTCTACTTAGGCAAACAACCTGGCCGCAACTGAACACAAACTTCACGCTGACACCTCAAAGCTCCAGCGGCAGCAGCAGGATCTTTAGGAAGAGTTGAGAGAAGCACGAGCCCAAAGGGAGGCCCTCCGGAGCACGTTACAGGTAGTCGAGAGCGAAATGGATGTGTTGAGGATGGGATTAGGTGGTCGTGACTTGGATCCAGGCCGTTGGGACTGGGGAAAGTAAGGAGGTTTTGGCAGGTAAAGTGATCGTCAGCGCGTTGGTGGTCCCAGTGGGAAATGGAGGTACGTTGTTTTGTTTGAGCCGTTGTCTTCGTTATTACTCGCCAATTATCTGAACTCAGGTTCACCTTCCCATCGCCGTCTCTCCGCCCTTCTGAATCTTCCTTCTCCTACCTTCGGATCAGCAACTTCGTCTTCCTCCACCTCGACTTCATCCACTCAGAACCCGGCTCCATCCCGATCCGCTCTCTCCTGGGATGTACTAAAGCTAGCTTCTCCTATAGTTCAAAAACTCTATCACGCGCTTGAGGTGGATGAACGCCCTCAATTCAACAGAAGGAACCATAGGGAATACAGTATTTACCCCTGCCTCAATCGAGAGCTATATCACGTCCGGCGCTCATCACAGAGACCTCGATGTGCGGATCGAGCCTGCTGAGGGGTCGATCGTGTTTATCGATGAGGCGTTCTCTACGGCCACAACAAAGAGGTAGCTAGTGTTTTTACTTGAGTTATATTTGTGCGTTAGTCTGATCCCCTAAACTAGCCAAAGAACTCGCTCGTTGAAGTCTGCGATCGTAAGGCCGAATTGGAGCAGATTAGAAGGGTGGAGGCTGAGAAGTACGCGTTTCGACCTCGAGTACATGATATTTCAAATGTTACGTGCTGTTTCAACATCTTTTCCCAAAACAAGGATGTCGGACTGAGAGATGAGGGGAGATACACTTCCCAAAACAACCCATGAAGCCTTAACTTAATGCAAAGCTCTCATCTGATTCTCTTGAGTTGGTAAGACTGGTAGTTATAGAGAGGGGTACTAAGGAGTACTTTGTATTGCTTTCCGTATTTTGTTCTGAGCGGTACAAGATCGTTCTAGATAAGAATTAAACTCTGGGACGTCGAAGGTTGATCCATCTATTTTGGCCTGATTGTCTCCAATATTCGTCTTTCATGTCCTCCGCAAATAAATCTCTTTCGTAAACCCATCTTGAAGAAAAAAGGTTGAGGGCATACTCAAAGCAAAAATTGTATAACTCACTCATTGAAATTGTCTCCCCAACCCTTCCAGGAAACCAGGTAATCCCAACCCTCTCGAAATCCTGCCCTACTGTTTTTCCTCCAATAGAATATGTCCCCATTGCGCGGCCAATCAGGGTTAGTGGTTTTACGGTGTTGGAGAATAGCACCTGCAGATAATAAGTAAATAACAAGAACATAGACAGGAAAAAGGCTCACTAATCTCCCATTCCTGTACACCTTGACGAGTTCTTACCCCTTTGCCTCTAGGCCAGAGTGGGAAACTGCTAGCTTTCTGCTCAATTCTTCGCTTTCTATGCTTGAAATCGATAGCTATCTCCAGCTTGAACTTGTAGGTGTTCCTTTAATAAATTTAGCTAAACTGAACTGTCATAACCCTAGACAAGAAGAAATAATCTATCATTCAACACCGTGCAAAGATTACATGATCTTACAGATCTTCTTCCTCCTGTCCCCTGTTGGAAGTCAAAAACTATGAAAACTTTACCGCTCTATCCCTCCAGAACACCTATAGTTCTTTATTATAGAGATGCAGTAGAAGTCCTACAAGATCTAATGAAGAGTCCTTTGATATGTGATGCTCTCAACTTCAGTCCTCTGCAAATATTCGAAGATTCTAGGAAATTGGTCCGCGTCTACGACTCTTGGTTATCTGGAACAAGAGCTTGGGAGATGCAGGTGAGCTGAGCTTCAACACTTGAAATCTAGAAACTTGAAGTGAAAGAAGACGTAGAGCCAACTTCCCGAAGGGGCAACTCTGTTAGGCACCATTCTGTCCTCCGACAAAACAACTGTCTCTGTAATTACAGGAAACCGAGTTGCCCATCCTCTGTTAATTTCCTTGGCAAACATTGATTCAGATTTGCTGAGCAAAGCTTCTGTCATAAAGTACGCAGCCCCTATCATTACGCAGCCCCTATCATTTTCCCTTTCTCACCGTCTCGACGCCTTTACTTGTACAATACATCATCCCATCGCTGTCAATCTCCATCGATTACTGATCTATCTATTACTGATCCACCTGACCCACCTTCTCTTTCTATCGGCTTCCACCTCCTTCCTTGCCCCTGAACTGTACAGTATTACATCGTTGTTTCTTGCAGACTAGATTATGTATATATAGCCAACCCTCCACAGCCTGGTCCCTTATCTTGACCTCTCTGTCATTATCTGGGACCAAGTATGTGCTTACTTATTATTACCTATGACTACGATACTCAATATATCTCTGTCATTATCTGGGACCAGTTCGCCTCCGCTCCGCTTAGTCGCTCCGCCTCACTCACCTGCTTAGTCGCTCCGCCTCACTGCCTGGCTTAGTCACCCCGCTTCCTGCTCCGCTAGTCACTCCGCCTCTGCCGCTTCATGACATTAGGTCAAGATCCATTACTGCACTGACAGCCTACCGATAAGGTTGTCCTTGCAGGATCCGTAGACACCACGTCTTCCCCAGTCCCGCCCGATCCTGAAACACCTGCTGCCAGTATAGACTGCTCCACACTCCCGCACGCACTTGACCCCAGAGACCAAGCTCACGCCCACAACAACAATGATACTTGGCGTGATTGCCAGTCTCAACCTTGCCCCAACGCCCTTTCGAACTCGATCCGAGAGCCACTCACTGTGAGCAATATAACCTTCCTGCCAATTCCCCAACCCCGATTGCCTACTCCCATCATGTCGACTCCTGTCCCGCCTGCCCCAAATACCTCTGCTGAGGATCTCATGGCTCAGCTCATCAGACAAGTAGCCAGCCTTGCTACAGCCATGGAGGAACGCTCATCCTCCAAGTCAAGCATGAACAAACCCGAGGTCTTCAAGGGTAAAGATGGTGCTGAAGCTCGTCGCTTCATGGCTCAGTTCCAAAATTGGGCGTCAGAACAACCGGATCTCGCCAAGAGCCAAGTTAAACTGATCAAGTCCGCCCTGGGCTTCTTCACAGAAAGTGCTGGAGATTGGGCAACTCCCCATCTGTTACACTTCAGTGCAGAGAATCCCCCTTTCGGAGGAAACTGGGATACGTTCTTGAAGGAATTTAGCCAGCGGTTTGAACCAATGGACCCAGGTATGGAAGCCCGTAGCGAGATCAAGAACCTCAGACAAAGTAAAGGGCAGACAGTTGCAGAATTTGCCCAGAAGTTCAAGGATATCGGAGATCGGACTGAAATGTCTGATATTGATTTACGGGAACGCTTCTTCACCGCCTTACTTCCGGAGATCCGACAACACCTTATCATCGTAAACATCGCCCAAGGAATCGCTCCGACTTTGAAAGAGGCAATCAAACGAGCCATATCGGTGGATGTCTACCTGCATGATCCCACCATGACCGGCCGAAACACCGGACACGCTCCCGCACACACCGCTCACATTACCCCTGCCGACCCTCACGCCATGGACATTGATGCTACTCATACCAGCACTGGGAATAGCAGGGAGGCCTTCCTTGCCCGTATGCGCGGACGATGTTTTGGTTGTGGAGCTCAAGGCCATGTTAAGCAGAATTGCCAACACAAGGAGACTACCTGCCGATACTGTGGACGCCAGGGACACCTAGAATCCGTCTGTCAGGACAAGTTCATGGGACTTAGTCGCGACCGTGGCCGACGCCAACAGCCTCGCCGTCAGCAGATCTCAGCCACGGCGGCACCATTTACCTTATTCCCAAATGAATCAGTTCAGATTGCCGCCTCAATCCCAACACCTGTCGCTGGACCTGCTATACCGAGCCCCGCTAATCAGGACTTCTCCACCCAAATTGGACAAATAAGGGAATTGTTGGACCGTGCTAATGCCATGTCTCCTCCGTCCTCTGGTTTTCAGCAGGGTTTTTAAAGAGGGTACCCGCTCCGGCTGCACCGAGAGTACCCCATAATCAGTTTACTATGTTCGCTACCTCTTCATATGACTCGCTCCCATCATGTACAATATCATCTATTTGGGAATTAAATTCCAGCTCCCCACATTTCCGAATTCATGCGAAACTGAGAGGAAGGAACCATAGTATAACAACCGCAGCCATGGTAGACTGTGGAGCTACCACCCTGTTTTTAAACCAAGACTTTGCCACCAGAAATCACGTAACCTGCGCACCCCTCCATAAACCAATCGATGTATTCAATATCGATGGTACACCTAACCGAGCCGGGCGAATCACCCACTTTGCACGCTTAGCACTCACAGTGGATAACCAGGAGCGATGGATGGATTTCCTGATCACAAACTTAGGAGGAGAGGATATTATTCTCGGACTCCCCTGGTTACGGAAGGTAAATGCAGAGATTGACTGGGAGAAGGGACGACTTTTAGTAAAGCCACCCCGGGTACATATAGAGGAAGTAGAAGATGAGCAGACTTTACACCCTCACCTAGTGGCGTCTACTACCGATAGTCCAATCCAGGAACTCCTGAACGAAGGATCCCAACGTGAACCCAATCACACTGAGGCAGACCTAGAGGAGAATGAAATCATAACAGCAACGGAGGAATCCCCAATACACCGAATACGAGCCAATCACAAAACGCGTCGGGCATGGGTGAAAGCGGGGATATTGGAAGAACAAACAGAGGAAGTATGGTGCTCAGCAGGGTTCACATATTCTCAACAACTAGCAGAGGAGGCTAACCGCGATAAACCCATTAAAACCTTTGAGGAGATGGTCCCTGAGCAGTACCGAGACTTCAAGAAGGTTTTCTCTGAATCTGCCTCTGAGCGATTACCTGCCCATCAGCCCTGGGATCACGCTATCGATCTTGTACCCGGAGCACCAGCAACCATGCGGACAAAGATCTACCCAATGTCCTTGAACGAGCAGGAGGAACTCGACCGCTTTCTAGAAGAAAACCTACGGAAAGGCTACATCGTTCCCTCGAAGTCACCCATCTCATCTCCAGTCTTCTTCGTGAAGAAGAAGGATGGGAAACTCCGTTTCGTACAGGACTACCGGAAACTGAATGAGTATACTGTGAAGAACCGATACCCTCTCCCATTAGTTGCTGATATCATTAGCCGGCTTCAGGGAGCGCGATATTTCACCAAGTTTGACGTTCGCTGGGGCTACAATAATGTGCGGATTAAGAAGGGGCATGAATGGAAAGGCGCATTTGCAACAACTCGGGGCTTGTTCGAGCCTAACGTTATGTTCTTCGGTCTCACGAATTCCCCTGCCACATTCCAAGCACTTATGAATGCGATATTTGCTGATCTCATTGCAGCTGGCAAGGTGGCAGTCTACCTAGACGACATCCTCATATTCAGTAACGACCTCAAGGAACACCGACAAGTGGTACGGGAAGTATTAACGCGACTAGAAAAGCACGACCTCTATTTGCGCCCAGAGAAGTGTGAATTTGAACAGCAACAGATCGAATACCTGGGACTTATCATTTCAGAAGGGGAGGTGAGAATGGATCCGGTCAAAGTAGCGGCTGTTCGTGACTGGCCAGTCCCTACCAACCTCTGGGAACTGCGAGGATTTTTGGGGTTTGCAAACTTCTACCGGCGCTTTATCCGAAATTTTGCAAGAATAGCTCGACCTTTGAACGACCTAACCAAGAAGGATACCAGCTTTAACTGGACTGGTACACAACAGGAGGCATTTGACACCCTTCGAGAGGCCTTCATCTCCGCACCAATCCTTGCTCTATGGGCGCCAGATCGGCCCACTCGAATTGAGGTAGATGCATCAGGCTTTGCTACGGGAGGCGCCCTCATGCAGAAGCAAGACGATGGTCAGTGGCACCCGGTAGCCTTCAGATCGGCATCCATGCAGCCAGCAGAACGGAACTATGAAATATATGATCGGGAGATGCTTGCCATCATTGAAGCATTGAAGGACTGGAGGAATTTCCTGGAAGGACTTCCACAACCATTCGACATTATCACCGACCACTCCAACCTCGAATTCTGGCGCACAGCACAAGACCTTACCCGTCGACAAGCCCGATGGGCCCTCTATCTATCACGGTTTGATTTTCATATGATCCACCGTCCTGGCCGAGTAAACACCCAAGCTGATGCTCTTTCTCGTATGGCAGTACATCATGTATCAGATAGCGATGACAATCAGCAACAGACCGTCCTTAAACCTGGCCACTTCACCAAAATCGCCGCTTCAATCCTACAGAACCCCCTAGAGGATCGTATTCGGAAAGCCTCAGAACGGGAAGCACAAGTACTGGAAGGTCTGGAAACAGTCAAGAAGCACGGGTTACAACGCTTGGCCAATGGGATAGCTGAATGGGAGGAGGACAACGGGTTGGTCTATTACCGGGGCCGGGTATATGTACCAGCAGACAACAATCTACGCACCGAGGTACTCCGTCAATGCCATGATCATCCAACTGCTGGACATCCCGGATTACATGGGACACTTGACCTGGTCAGCACCCACTTCTGGTGGCCGACACTGCGTTCTTTTGTGGAGAAATACGTTGAGGGATGCGAGATTTGCGCCCGCAAGAAGATCCAACGGCACCCACGAGCTGTGACTCAACCACTGGATGTACCATCCGGCCTATGGGAAGAGGTAGGGGTCGACCTGATAACACAATTGCCTAACTCCCAGGGATACGACGCAGTCTTGGTCTGTACAGACCTGTATGGAAAACAAATCCATGCTATTCCTTGCACCAGCTCCATTACAGCCGAAGGTGTCGCCGATATCTATTACCGAGAAATCTTCCGTCTCCATGGTCTTCCCCTCCACTTCAAATCCGACCGCGGACCTCAGTTCGCAGCTAAACTCATGCGATCCCTCCTCGCTAGACTGGGAATTATAACCTCCGGATATCGTCCTCAGTCCAATGGCCAAACTGAACGCGCAAATCAGGAAGTGGAAAAATACATCCGCCTCTATGTGGGACGACGACAAGATGACTGGGCAGAACACCTCCCCATGGCGGAGTTTGTGATTAACTCACGGACTCACTCGGCCCTAGGCATGTCCCCGTTCGAGTTAACCTACGGATACCTTCCCCTGTTCAATATCCCGGTTGGTCAACGCAGCGGCATTCCAGCAGTGGATGACCGCATACGGATTCTCCGAGAAGCGCGACAGGATGCTGGAGCTGCCTTACATCTAGGAAAGAAGCAACAAAAGGAGGGATACGAACGTGGGAAGCAAAAAGCGCATCAATTCAAAGTTGGGGACCTAGTTTGGCTAAGTGCGGAGGACATTAACCTGCAGCTATCCAGTGAAAAACTAGGAGACCGACAGCTAGGACCTTACCGTATTCTGGAGAAAGTCGGACCTCTGGATTACCGCCTTGACCTTCCCTTGTCATTAGACCGCCTTCATCCTGTCTTCCATGTCGACAAACTATATCCATGGAAAGGTAACCCCATCAATGGCGAAATACCAACACCACCAGAGCCGGTGTACTTAGAAGATGAAGATGAACCGGAATATGAAGTGGAGGAGATCTTGGACAGTCGGGTACGATGGAAGAAGTTGGAATATCTAGTAAAATGGAAAGGTTACGATGCAGGACACAACTCTTGGGAACCCGCACCCAACCTCAGCCGGGCACCAAAAATTGTTCGGGCCTTTCACAAAAAACATCCGACAGCGGCAAAACCTTGACCATCGAGGGCAATGGTCATAAGGAGGGGGGTAATGTCATAAAGTACGCAGCCCCTATCATTTTCCCTTTCTCACCGTCTCGACGCCTTTACTTGTACAATACATCATCCCATCGCTGTCAATCTCCATCGATTACTGATCTATCTATTACTGATCCACCTGACCCACCTTCTCTTTCTATCGGCTTCCGCCTCCTTCCTTGCCCCTGAACTGTACAGTATTACATCGTTGTTTCTCGCAGACTAGATTATGTATATATAGCCAACCCTCCACAGCCTGGTCCCTTATCTTGACCTCTCTGTCATTATCTGGGACCAGGTATGTGCTTACTTATTATTACCTATGACTACGATACTCAATATATCTCTGTCATTATCTGGGACCAGTTCGCCTCCGCTCCGCTTAGTCGCTCCGCCTCACTGCCTGGCTTAGTCACCCCGCTTCCTGCTCCGCTAGTCACTCCGCCTCTGCCGCTTCGTGACAATTCCGGAACACAAATTTTATGAATCACAAATTTAGGTGAATATCAACAGGTGCGAACTGTATACTTACCAGCTACAGGAGGAACAGAAAGTCCCGGGTCCGAGAAGCAGTGGCAATGAGTGCCATTAGGCGCCCATTCGCTCCGCCAGACCTCTTACAGCTTCATATTTTGTCGTCAGCCACCCACCCGCCCTTTACTCATCTATTATCTAGCTAGTAAGTTCATTACAGCTCAGATGCTCCACGGTGTGTTGCCCACCCGCGCGGGGCTTCGCCCCCAGGCAAAACCTCTCTATATTGATACTGACTACTTTACACAATATAGAACTTCTATTGATGCCAAGCTGGATGTAGAGAAAGCGAAGAGGGGAAAAAAGCAGGAAAAGTTAAGAAAGAGAAGGAGGAACTGGAGGCAGAATCAGAGAGCTTAAGTCAGGCATTGTTCGAGGAGGTAGGTTTCTCACTATCATCATTGATTTCCTTTCGGACATTTGTCGCACCACTTCCTTTTTTACCGAATTATGTTTTTACGTATTCTTACTTACCCTTGCTCTGCTTAGGCAAACAACATGGTCGCAACTGAACGCAAACTTTGCGCTGAAACCGAATCGAAGCTTCAGCGACAACAACAAGATCTCAAGGAAGAGTTGAGAGAAGCACAAGCCAAAGGGAGTCCCTCCGGAGCGCGTTACAGGTGGTCGAGAGCGAGATGGATGTGTTGCTAACGTTGACCCTGTTCTACGTCGGAATGCCACCCAACCATCGAAAATACCGGAGCCAGACGAGTCCAACGATGGAGGATACTTACCATATTCGGAATACAGTGCCTTGCCCTAGACAGCGTCCACGATGTCCACGATGTCCATTCTATCTGCAAGGACATCGATGTCTGGCGTGCATGGGATGCCTGTAATTCCTTCGCAGCCAGAGTCTCAAGCACAACCAGAGCCGTTGTTCACACATCCGCATCCCAACAACTCGGAGAGTCATCCAGAAGAAGAAACTCATCCACATCCTCAATTACATTCACGCTCTTCTTCTCGACGTGGCATCGAATTTCCGCCATCATTTAGACCTGGGTCGAGGACGTCAAGACGTTCAGGATACTCAGACTTCGTAGGATATTCAGACGAGGCCGAAATCGGTCATTATACCTTTTCAAATTGACAGTAGAACGGAGAGGGATTCCTCTCATGGGGGCTATGTCACAATTAAACCAATTGCCTCCTGCTCCCTCCGCATCAGTATCAGTACTGAGACCCGCAATGCCAATAGTGAAACGGAACGAACAAGGTCAATTTTCGGTCTCTTCCTCACATCTGGATCAGCTGGCGCTCAGTATTACAACTACGAATCCTGAATCTCAACCCCCTCCCCATTTGCCTTTTTCGGTTTTATGAGAACCGTCGTCATTCTTACCGCCTTCAAGTTCAGGCAGATAAAGTGGATCGGGAGGACAAAGAGTGGGAAAACAGTAAAGAGAGATAACAGAGAGAGAAGGAGAACGAAAAAAAGTCGTTTTGTCACGCAACGTGGCCTGGGAATTTGGGATAGTAAATGCCCGATGTCCAAGTTGACATCGGGCATAAAGCCACCTACTATCGTCGCATAACTCTCAGTAATCTGACTTTGAGTACTGACTAGTACTAACTCCTGAGCCTCTTTCAGCCCAACAGAATCCAAGTCCAGGAAAGATCTGCTCATCTTCAGATGATGTCTTCTGTAGAAAAATCACCAAGCGTATTCGGATTCTGTGACGATCCGGAGGTTGTTTTTGCGTCTTTACTATGTGTATTGAGCAAAATGGTTTGTATTTTCTGCCTATTTTCTGCACCGTTATAATATATCATCTGAGAGCTTGACGAATGTCCTCTACATTAGCTTTTCTTCCAAGCTTTAGGACAAGCATCATGCTCACGGGAAGAGTTTTACCAGTTTGCTTTATGCTTTGAATAACTGTTTTAGCCGCTAGATTCTGACTCTATGTATATGGGGACTTGAGCTTGAATATCAAGCTTGCATTTTCGGGAGCCAAAGAACCCCCTGTGTAGACAATCACGGGGCTTCACAGGGCCTCACGCGTCATGCTCGATACGAAATAATCCTGTTTCCATTCTCCCTTAGGCTCAGGGATTGACGGATACCCTTTGATCTGTGACCTCCTGTGGCTGGTTCGTGTTGTTGATTGATGGTTTAATTCTCTGATCAAGAGGCACGAAAAAAGGCGATGTATCACTCTCCACTCCAAGGTTGTCTCGTTGACGCCCATAACGCTCCTCCATAATGCTCCTGCTCAGTGCTTCTCACTGCATATAAGATGGACGGATCCTATCTATGTTCTTCTGCTGAGATTTGTGTAATGACAGCGAATTAACTATACGACAATCCACCGTGTGATGGGGCCTCACCAAAAACAGTAAACAATGTCATCCTATGTAGCTTATCCTGACGCTAAGACTAATTTAGAAGCACGCGGATGATATAAATCTCCGTTCTTTTTTTGACTTTACCCTCCCTCCGTCTCACTGCTGGTGTCTACTCTTATTCTGCTACTCGGAATGACTCCCGACGAGCAAGAGGCGGTGTTCTCCGTAGCCCAAATCGTGTTCTTCAACACCGTCAATCTGATAGTAACTGTCACCGGGTATGGTGCATGGATTTCATGGCGGGGAAAGCACAAGTACATACGAATATTGATTCTTCTCAGGAGCATTTGTTTTGGGAACGATTATTGCCGTTGTATCTCTCAGGTGTGTAAACTCCAACACCAGAGCTCTGATCAATATTTTTGACAATATGTCAACAGGAGAAGAACCTGGGGACGTTCACAGACCATCCTACTTGTTTGTCTGCTCGTAATATTCACTTGCTTCACCTGGGACGTCTTCTACTCTGGAGGATTCAACGTGACCGATATCCGGTATACGTTTGTGAAAACCTCATCAGAGGGCCTGGTGGCTCAAATAGAAGCGGCCGATCGGAAAACCTTGGTATGGCAATATATGCCGTCGTGGGCTGCAACAGTGAACGTTAGTACCCTTTGGAGGTCCTCTTAACAATATGATACTACCATGTTATCCGAAGCTGAAAATATTTTTCTAGCTTCTCTTGAGCGATTGCATCGTTGTTTGGAGAGCGTGGATATTATTCCAAGACGAAAAATTCTGGAAGATCTCTCTAGCAGTTCTCATGATAGCCAACATAGGTGCGTAGCTGGAACTTGTAAAACTTAGACAGTACATAGTACTTATTCGGCACTGCAGGCGTCAATGTCGCTGATTGTATCTGGGGTAACATCGAACTCAGTGTCGAGATCGCAAGCTCCACTACTCTTGACTGGCTCTCGAGCATAATATCCTTGACTGTTAATATTTTCGCGACCTTTCTCATAGCATTCAAAGCCTGGTGTCACGAAGCGGCAGAGGCGGAGTGACTAGCGGAGCAAGAAAGCGGAGTGACCAAGCAAGGCGGTGAGGCGGAGCCACTAAGCAGGTCAGCAAGGCGGAGCGACTAAGCAGAACGGCGGCAGGCTGGTCCCAGATAATGACAGAGATATATTGAGTATCGTAGTCATAGGTAATAATAAGTAAGCACATACCTGGTCCCAGATAATGACAGAGAGGTCAAGATAAGGGACCAGGCTGTGGAGGGTTGGCTATATATACATAATCCGGTCTGAAAAAACAACGATGTAATACTGTACAGTTTAGGAACAAGGAAGGTGGCGGAAGCCAGTAGAAGGAGAAGATGGGTCAGGTGGATCAGTAATCAATGGATCAGTAATCGATGGGGGTTTGACAGTGATGGGATGATGTATCGTACAAGTAAAGGCGTCGAGACGGTGAGAAAAGGAAAATGATAGGGGCTGCATACTTTATGACATTACCCCCCTCCTTATGACCATTGCCCTCGATGGTCAAGGCTTTGCCGCTGTTGGGTGTTTTTTATGAAAGGCCCAAACAATTTTTGGTGCTCGACTGAGGTTGGCTGCGGGTTCCCAAGAGTTGTGCCCTGCGTCGTAACCTTTCCACTTAACCAAATATTCCAACTTCTTCCATCGAACCTGGCTGTCTAAGATCTCCTCTACTTCGTATTCCGGTTCGTCTTCATCCTCTAAGTATACCGGCTCTGGTGGTGTTGGTATTTCGCCATTAATGGAGTTACCTTTCCAGGGGTATAGTTTATCAACATGGAAGACGGGATGGAGGCAATCTAGGGATAGGGGAAGGTCAAGGCGGTAGTCTAAAGGGCCAATTTTCTCCAGAATGCGATAAGGGCCAAGCTGTCGATCTCCTAACTTTTCACTGGAAAGCTGAAGGTTAATGTCCTCTGCACTGAGCCAGACTAGGTCTCCAACTTTAAATTGATGAGCTTTCCGCTTCCCGCGTTCGTATCCCTCCTTCTGTTGTTTCTTTCCTAGGTGTAAGGCAGCTCCGGCATCTTGTCGCGCTTCTCGGAGAATCCGTATACGGTCATCCACAGCTGGAATACCGCTGCGTTGGCCCACTGGGATATTGAACAGGGGAAGATAGCCGTAGGTTAGCTCGAACGGGGACATGCCTAGCGCAGAATGAGTCCGTGAGTTAATCACAAACTCCGCCATGGGAAGGTGCTCTGCCCAGTCGTCTTGTCGTCGTCCTACATAGAGGCGGATGTATTTCTCTACTTCCTGATTTGCTCGTTCGGTTTGGCCATTCGACTGAGGACGGTATCCGGAGGTTAGATCTGATTTAATTCCTAGCCTAGCGAGAAGGGATCGCATGAGTTTAGCTGCAAACTGGGGTCCGCGGTCGGATTTAAAGTGAAGAGGAAGACCATGGAGACGGAAGATCTCTCGGTAGTAGATATCGGCAACGCCTTCGGCTGTGATGGAGCTGGTGCAAGGAATAGCGTGAATTTGTTTTCCATACAGGTCTGTGCAAACCAAGACAGCATCGTAGCCTTGGGAGTTAGGTAGCTGTGTTATCAGGTCAACCCCTACCTCTTCCCATAGACCGGATGGTACATCTAATGGTTGAGTTACGGCCCGTGGGTGTCGCTGGATCTTCTTACGGGCACAAACCTCGCATCCCTCAACGTATTTTTCCACAAAAGAGCGCAACATAGGCCACCAGAAATGGGTACTGACCAAGTCGAGTGTCCTGTGTAGTCCGGGGTGTCCTGCAGTTGGATGGCCGTGGCATTGACGGAGTACCTCAGTGCGTAGGTCGTTGTTTGCTGGTACGTATACTCGACCTCGGTAGTAGACCAACCCATTGTCTTCTTCCCATTCGGCTATCCCATTGGCCAAGCGCTGTAGTCCGTGCTCTTTGACTGTTTTGAGACCCTCCAATACCTGTGCCTCCCGTTCTGAGGCTTTCCGGATACGATCCCTTAAGGGGTTCTGTAGGATCGAAGCTGCAATTTTTACGAAGTGGCCAGGTTTAAGGACTGTCTGTTGTCGGTTATCATCGCTGTCCGATACATGATGAACTGCCATGCGGGAGAGAGCATCAGCTTGGGTGTTTACTCTACCAGGGCGGTGGATCATATGAAAGTCAAACCGTGACAGATAGAGGGCCCATCGGGCTTGTCGGCGGGTGAGGTCTTGTGCAGTGCGCCAGAATTCGAGGTTCGAATGGTCCGTAATGATGTCGAATGGTTGAGGGAGTCCTTCTAGAAAGTTCCTCCAATCCTTCAGTGCTTCAATGATAGCAAGCATTTCTCAATCGTAGATTTCGTAGTTCCGTTCCGCTGGCTGCATGGATGCCGATCTGAAGGCTACTGGATGCCATTGGCCATCGTCTTGCTTCTGCATAAGGGCGCCTCCCGTGGCAAAGCCTGATGCGTCTACCTCGATTCGAGTAGGCCTGTCTGGTGTCCATAGAGCAAGGATCGGTGCGGAGATGAAGGCTTCTCGAAGGGTATCAAATGCTTTCTGTCGAGCGTCGGTCCAGGTAAAGCTGGTGTCTTTCTTCGTCAGGTCGTTCAGAGGTCGTGCTATTTTGGCAAAATTCCGGATAAAGCATCGGTAGAAGTTTGCAAATCCCAAGAACCCTCGTAGTTCCCGAAGGTTAGTAGGGACTGGCCAGTCACGAACAGCCGCTACTTTTACTGGATCCATTCTCACCTCCCCTTCTGAGATGATGAGTCCGAGGTATTCAATCTGTTGTTGTTCAAATTCGCATTTTTCGGGTCGTAGGTAGAGGTCGTGCTTTTCTAACCGAGTTAATACTTCCTGTACCATTCGTCGGTATTCCTCGAGATCGTTACTGAAGATAAGGATGTCATCTAGGTAGACTGCCACCTTGCCGGCTGCAATGAGATCAGCAAATATAGCATTCATAAGTGCTTGGAACGTGGCAGGGGAATTTGTGAGACCAAAGAACATGACCTTAGGCTCGAACAAGCCTTGGGTTGTTGCAAACGCGCCTTTCCATTCATGCCCCTTCTTAATCCGTATGTTATTGTAACCCCAGCGGACATCAAACTTCGTGAAGTATCTTGCTCCCTGAAGTCGGCTAATAATGTCAGCAACTAATGGGAGAGGGTATCGGTTCTTCACAGTGTACTCGTTCAGTTTCCGGTAGTCTTGTACAAAACGGAGTTTCCCATCCTTCTTCTTTACGAAGAAGACCAGTGATGAGATTGGTGATTTTGAGGGAACGATATAGCCTTTCCGTAGGTTTTCTTCTAGGAAACGATCCAACTCCTCCTGCTCATTTAGGGACATGGGATAAATCTTGGTACGCATGGTTGCCGGTGCTCCAGGTACGAGATCAATCGCATGGTCCCAAGGTTGGTGGGCAGGTAATCGTTCGGAGGCGGATTCTGAGAAAACCTTCTTGAAATCGCGGTACTGCTCAGGGACCATTTCTTCGAAGGTTTTACTGGGTTTGTCTCGGTTGGCTTCCTCTGCTAGCTGCTGGGAGTAAGTGAATCCTGCGGCGCACCAGACTTCCTCTATCTGTTCCTCTAGAATTCCTGCTTTTACCCATGCCCGGCGAGTTTTATGATTGGCTCGAATTCGGTGTATTGGTGGTTCTTCCACCGCTGCTGATTCACTCTGTTCAAGGGTTGCTTCTAGTGGCACCTCAATGTAGGGGTTTTCTGCGGGAGGTTCCAGTTCCGGGAGTTCGAGGATCGGGGTTTCTGTGTGAGTGGCGGCTAGATGAGAGTACAAGATCTCCTCATCTGGGACTTCTTCTATCGTTACTCAAGGAGGCTTTACTGAAAGTCGTCCTTTCTCCCAATCAATCTCCGGATTTACCTTCCGTAGCCAGGGGAGTCCAAGGATGCTAGGTTGGTGATCAGAAAGTCCATCCATCGCTCTTGATTATCCACTGTGAGTGCTAGACGTGCAAAATGGGTTATCCGTCCAGCTCGGTTAGGTGTTCCATCGATATTAAAAACGTCGATTGGTTTATGGAGGGGTGCACATCTTACATGGTTCCGGGTGACAAAGTCTTGGTTTAAAAACAGGGCGGTAGCTCCCCTCTACCATGGCTGCAGTTGTTATACTGTGATTCCTTCCTCTTAGTCTCGCATGAATTCGGAAATGTGGGGAAGTAGAGTTTAATTCCCGGATCAACGATATTGTACATGATGGGTGCGAGTCATACGAGGAAGTAGCGAACATAACAAACTGATTACGGGGTACTCTCGGTGCAGCCGAAGCGGGTACCCTCTTTAAAAACCCTGTTGCAAGCCAGAGGGTGAGGAGGACATAGCGTTAGCACGATCAAGTAATTCCCTTATTTGACCGATCTGGTTGGAGAAGTCCTGGATAGGGGGGCTCGGAATATCAGGTACGGTTGCAGGAGCGGATGTTGGGGTCGAGGACGCGATTTGGACGGATTCGTTTGGGAATAGGGAGAATGGCGCGGGTCCCGTAGCGGATATCTGTTGGCGTCGAGGTTGCTGGCGTCGGCCTCGGTCTCGTCCGAGTCCCATGAATTTGTCTTGGCAGACTGCTTCCAGATGTCCTCGGCGTCCACAGTAACGGCAGGTGGTTTCTCGGTGTGGGCAGTTTTGCTTGACATGACCTTGGGCACCGCAGCCAAAGCATCGTCCTCGCATGCGAGCTAGGAATGCCTCCCTAGTATTCCCATTACTGGTGTGGGTTGCATCAATGTCCATAGCGTGGGGGTCAGCAGGAGTAGTGTGAGCGGTATGCGTGGGGGAATATCCAGACGTTATCACTGCCATGTCCATCGTCGCGGCGGTGCGTACATTCTATCCTACCTCCATGAACTTCGCGCCTTAATTCCAAGTTTACTAGGCATGTTGTCCCATTGCGGTGATCATTCTCGTTCATAACGAGAACTCACTTATAACAGAGATTGAAATGTTCCAAGAAAGTTCCTGTGCTAAAACAGTAGACAAAAGTCACAGCATGGGGACCCTCGTTCTCTCGAATACATGAGATGCCTCTTCTTGAAGGCTGTTCAAGGTATGCATGTCAGCATTCTTTGATGCTAGTCTACGATTTTGACATATGTAGGTCATTTGTACAGATGGAACCATGATACTCGTGGCCTCTGCTTTGTGCTCACGTCTGTTCACGCGAATATATAGGGGGACGCTACTGAATCCTTCTGACTCTTTTTCTCACACCCCAAACACACCCTCCTCATTGCGATTCAATGTATAATCACCTTGACTCATCTGAAGCAGTCAACTATTCCAAGACCACCTTGTGTTTTCTTCATTGTCTATTTCAAGAAAAAAGGACCGTAATGGCTTTTCTTGGAAAAAATACAGTCGTTCTTAACTGCTGTTTCCATCATGTAATTATTGCTGTTGAAATCAATGATGGTCGACATGGGCATGTAGAATCCTCTTTATCATCTGATAAAACATCGAAATCGTTGTAAGAGTTGCTTGCTGAGGGGTTTCTCTCAGCTCCATAACAAACAGCTCCCCAACTTACCAGTCAGTACTTGCCACGAATTTCGTCAGATTGTGAAAGTCCGATATCCCTGTGACTCGGGGGTTACCTAACATTCTTCTCGCATTCCTTCCAAGCAGCTTGCCATGGTTCATCACGCTATCGGCTTCAATGACCTTCCCCCGGAGCTGCACCACCTTGTTGCAGAAGAAATCACGGATACCCAAACTTTATTAGCGTTAACCTTTGTATCTCAAAATATCCATATTGCCTACACCCCCGAGTTATTTCAATCCGTCGACAAGGTAAAGGGATTGATTACGCTTGCTACAGCTCAGAATGAAAGATACCCTCTCCGAGACACACATCCAGCTGCCTTTGTCAGACATCTGGACATATGGATTCCACACGAGGACTTGGGGGGCCCAGAAGCACATCGAAAAGAAGTCAAGCTTACCCGTATCGTCCAAGAACACATGCCACGAGCATTGCACAATATCTCCCTATATGGCGGGAAGGCAACATTACAGTCATTGACAATTGATTTACACATCGGGACTACAAGTTTTGCAAAACTTATTGGGAATATAGATGAGGGCAAGGAGCTTTTTAGGTCTCTCCAGCAGCTTTCCATTCGCTGCTGCTTTCCGGTAAACAATTTTAGGCAGAGTCTGGCTAAACTGGTTCGTATCATTCCCATGCTTCGGAGATATTATTGTATGTACTCAGCTTTCACGTGGCTCAGAAAATGGCCCTCGGTCCTTCACTACGATCTATTGAGTTCCACAGGCCCTTGGACGACGAAGGTAACTTGATCAAAACCTCTGTGTTTTCTATAGTTGATGGTCCAACCGCAGCAGATCCTCGCTCATTCTCCAAGTTTCTAAACCAAGTTGGCGAACGTTGCGGTAGTTTGACTAAACTTTGCATCGAAGTTCCCAGCATTCAGAGAAAGCCTTTCCATGATCTTCAAGCCCAATTCGATGATAGAGCTTTTACCTTCCCATCGCTCGAGGTGTTTTCGCTTACTGGCAGAAGAAGCTTCTCCCAGTCTGCGAAACACACCCGAGCGCTGGATATCACGACCTTCATTCAACACCACCGAGATATTAGAGAATTAGCATATCACTGTCTCCATGAGATGTCCTTACTGAAAATCAAGACATAGTCCCAAACTTGACACGATTCAGTGAGTATCTACCAGAGGCGGGGAAGTTGTGTAAAAATGGTAGACAACCACTAGAGTCACTGGTGGTCTTAATTGACAGAAGATCCGACGAAGTGGTGGAAAGAGACCAGCTGTATAGGGATCTGAAGCAAACAGCTACAATTCGTCGACTAATTATACAGGAGACTCGTCACCATCAGCTCTTTGTTGACGGGATCTGTTCATATGATATTCACACCATCGTAGAAGCTTGTCCGAATTTAACTCACCTTCAATGTACATTCAATCAGAGCGCAACAGTCAGTGTTCCCTTCCTTCAATACCTAGTCGTTCTAACGACTTTCACAGGCTACACTTCTGGAGAATATGCTCGTTCTTAGAAACCTTTCGGAACTTGAACATTTGAAGATGTTCACAGTGCAGGGATTCTGTGGTCTTTTTCATAATCAACATGACGAGACGTTAAGGCACGCGGACCTCCATAAATTTGCAGAATCGTCAGGACGTAAACTCATGCTCAAAATCTGGGAAGCACTCAACCAACATCAGACACTCCAGACTGTACTTGTAGTGGTGTATGGGTGGTTTTGTCAACCAAGGCCACTTTTTGAAAGACCCCCAATCGAAGTCCGTTTTGCTTTCCACAAACAGAATGATGGATTCCACATCGAACGTCAGATCGACAACAAAGAGTGGGATTTCGGGTCACCAACACGTCGCACTGCTATACATCAGTACACCCAACATGTAGCGGGAGAAGCAATGACTTTTGAAATACTTCAGAGGCAATAGAGGGATAAAGCTGTTGTATACATTGTATTGCGTTTCGGGTCGTAAAGAAAACCTCCGCCAGGATATAAGCGTCGGAGGTGTGATTCCTCTAATGAGGTTCAATCTATGAACCCCATTATTTTACGAACATTTGATACCAATAGCACTTTATAAATGTTTATCTAATATTGATCACCTGACACATTTCTTATCTTTTCCTCCACCATCAAGAAATGGATGACTCTTTTGGCACTGCATTCGCAATCGATGTAAGTGGTAAAATCTCCGGATTTCTCATCAGAAGCTCAAAATATCTCAAGCCATCACAAATACCTAATGACTCCGTCGTCCTTACGAGCAATGCCCTGGGTCAACCGATAGTGATGTCCAAAGACCAGTTGTTGAATGGCATTCCATCTAGTGCTCCCCTTAGGCAGGTCTGTGAAGCATGTGGCAAGTTTCCTGGTGAAAAAGATTTTGCAATATGCTCTGCATGCAAGGGTTCGAAATATTGCAGGTTTGTCGCTGAAAAAAACAGGGGCTGTTATTGTCTAATCTCTCCTCGTCGTCGCAGTAAGCAATGTCAAAAGTATGCCCTTATACTTCCTTTTCACTATTGAATACTCACCCAAGCGCTCCTAGAGTACGATGGCCTGAACATAAGCCTATTTGCATACAAATGCGTCAAATCAACGAGGAAGCAGCCAAGGCTTCAAGCGAAGGACGAGAATATTTGAAACATACACACTGAAGCAATGGTACCGGAAGAACAATAATGCGGTGAGAGCTGCTCTTCTTCGTTTGCCGAACCACTTTTGAGGCCCCGCTCCATAGGCTTTTCATTGTCTCGAGATTTACAACGGTCATCTCTCCAAATACTCTCCCGCAAAATTCGCTGTTTGGTTTGCATTCGAAAGGCGAGGTCAAGACCCAAATGACGTCGATTTGCTGTCTTTACAATCTGTCGATCCAGTTCCAATGGCTCTCGCAAAAAAGATGGGACTCACTGTAAACCTCATCTTCTTTATTGCCTCCGGCAGGAACACTGACTCAAAACATCATATTTCTTAGGAGGAAAGGCTTGAAATGGCGGTGAGGAATCGTATGATGATTCTGCTCTTAATGGACAAGAAGAATCCGGTTCCGACAATACTTGAATTTCACCAGATTCCAGACAAGGACTGGGTCAAGCCAGATGAGCATTGGTTTTGGCAGGTGAAGATGTACAAGTCTAATTTAACTTAAGCAACAGACTGACAAAGGTAGTTATTGCTCTCAAACATTGTCTTCAAGCAAGTAATTATACTGTATGATATTCTTAATTTCAATGCATTCCAGTAATAATGGGAGTGAAGTACAGCTTTGGTGTAGACAGTTAGTTACCAACAATACCCAAGAGAAGAAGCACATAAGGGCATTATCTGTGTTCAACTAGGTCAAGAAAATCGATCTGAACCAGAGAACCACAATAAAATTGAAGCATAAAGATGAAGTAGACAAGAGTAGACCGCGACAGCATATATACGTGCTTGCAGCATCATTTGTAAGGCATATGCAGAGGAAGTAAATGAGGCAAGGTTTCTAACCTGACTTCTATCAATAGCGTTCGGCGAGAGTAACTCATACTCTGAATGACCATCTACGAGAGGTGGTTTATCCTCCGTAGATATGAGGTCGGAAATCTCACCAGGAGATTTCCAATTGGAACATCGTGTTTCTTCGTCTCCATCTTGTGAATTTGCGTCCATAGCCACACTTTTGGTATGTGATGGAGTCAAAATACTCTGGTCTTTGATGATTTCTTCCCTTCTCTCAGCGTTCTCAATCCGACCTAGAACCATGGTAAGTCACCAGCCTTTCCCCCAGCCACCATTTGCAGGGGTGGATTCCCAAGCTGCGGGTTCGACAGACCAGTCGTATGACGGTATAGGAGGCAATGGTGGAGACCTCGCCATAGAAGTCGTGCTCTGTCGAGGACGAGGATCGGTGTTCTCATCGTCATCATCGCTACTAGAATCGCTGCTCGAGTCACTGTCAGAGTCAGAATTAGAGCTAGACTCGCTGTCGGTGCTCGAAGAAGAGGAAGAATCACTATCCGAGCCGTCATTATCATCGGATTTGCTAGTGGATTTGCTCTTCCGTGACTTCGACTTGCTCTTTGACTTAGTCTTCTTCGTGCTCGCTTCAGATTCAGGTGGGACTGCTTTCTGAATAGGAAGGACGGGAAGGGGCTGGGCCATTATAGTCGGTGAAAGGACCACAGGAGGTGCAGATACTGGATCAGATTGAGCGAGTGGCATGAGGATCATAGAGCCGGTAGGAGAAGCACTCGGTGGATCAGAAGGCTGGTTCGTATTAACAGAAACAGCAGCAGATACTGGATTACTTTGCGCGCTACCTTTCTTCTTCTTCTCCCTTCTCTCCTTTCTCTGCTCTCTTCTCTTCTTCCGTTCTTCCTCAGAACCCTTGCCTTTGCCTTTTCCGCCCTTCTGCTTCTCCTTATTGCGTCTTTCTTCTTCTACCCACGCTTCGACTCCCTTGACAGCTTCCTCAGGTCGACTCTTATTCCGCAACAAATACCCTTGCAGCGCAGCCACACTGAATTCTTCGTCCGGAACTTTCTGCGCAAATTCTTGCGCCAGCTTGGACAAGACTGATGGAGAAAGAGGAGCAGGGGAATGCGTGTGTTGCCGTGGCGTCTTAGACTGAGGTTGACGTTGAGGCGAGGTGGAGGAAGTGGCTCGAGGCAATGAGGGAGACGATGCTGCAGGGGAACGGGGTGAAGAGCCAGTTACTGCTCCGACCGCTCCTGTGACGAGACTTGCAGTAGAACTCATGAACGTTGGCATACTCCAGACAGCAGATCCAATGGAGCTCAACAAGGAAAGACTGGGAGATGGACTCCAAGTCCCATTTGACGCTGCGGTATGTCGAGTCGACACCTCAGTCGCCTTGGGTGGATTGGCCATTGAAGACGATAACCCTGTAGGCATTCCAACCCAAGATCCAACGCCAGATGATGCTGTACTCGGTCTCGAACTCGGTCCCGATTCTTCTGCGCCGAGGTTTGAGATGTCACCCTCTGGTGTTGAAGCAGAGCGGGGGACATCAGGTAGGACAAGACCCATCGCAGCAAATTCGGCTTCTTCTTCCGCAGAAAGCTCTGGAGCGGATGGAGGAAGTGAGCCAGGATCTAGAGTGATGGTACCGTCGTCGGTTGGTTCTGCAGGACTCGTCGAGCTAGCACGGGACTGCCGATAAGATGGAGATGGAGACGAGAATGAGGACCTAAGTGAAGGCAATGACAACGAAGGTGACGCGGGCGTCGGCGTCGATGCTCTGGAAGCCTTCTTGTCCTGATCCCCAGAACTCGAATCCTCCTCGCAACTTGGAAAGAAGTTTCTGAAAAGAGCTTCTGCCTGCCACTTACTGGCATTCTTAAAGTCAATCCAGACATCCATTCGTCCGGGACGCGAAAGGGCAGGGTCAAGATGGTCAAGATGATTCGTCGTTCTAATAGGGGGAACACCCATTAAACAAGAAGCCTTTAGTAGACAAAAAGGCACTTACGCAAAAAGCAATCTTCCTTCTGCCGCAGCGACTCCATCAAGGGCGTTTAGCAAACCACTCAAACTGAGAGTGTTCACTTCGCTCAGAGCGTCAGTAGTGTTCGCGCCTCCGTTGATCCCGGAAGTACCAGTTCTGCGCCTCCTCGAAGATGACCCCGAATTTATCCCGGTGGTGGTGCCATAGCCATTATTATTGGAGTCAGACTTCGACTTGTCCTTCGACTTCTTATCTTTTTTGTCCTTCTTGTCTTTGCACTTCTTATCCTTCTTGGAACGTCGTCCAGTGCTTCGAGTAAACGTAGCATCGAGGTCTTCAAGGAGAACAATGCAACGCGCGGGAACGCGACCCATGAGGGTAGTGAGTGTTGCATCGTTGATCCAGGCAGCAGAAAGCGACAAGGCGTATATATCAAGCATGAGTTCCCCAGCCTATGATTGGGAAATAAGTCAATGATTGTGATCAAGATACAGAGAGAACTCTTACGATGGCGTGTATAAGAGAAGACTTCCCTGAGCCAGGTACACCATGCAAAAGGTAACCTCTACGAAATGGGATACCACGATCTGCATACCACTACCAGGAAAAAATAAGATGAGACAGAGTTGTCAAATTAGGAGTTTAGGTATACCTTCTTGCTGTTCAAAAAATCCTTAGTGTCGCTCAGAAGCATTTCTTTGTAACCAGGATTTAAGACAATACTGCTCATGGGGTGTTTGTGACGGGAATCTGTCCACCTAGGTGACCAATATTGAGTTACCGGTGTCAGATAGATGGGAAAGAAAGCCACCTCCAGCCTCCATGAGAATCGGCAAAGTAAATTTGAATGTGATGGATAGCTTCTGCTTCATATTCACGCTTAGCTTGTAATACGAGTTGCTTGAGGATGGTGTTGGACCTAGCAACAACACTGTACGGAGATGCTTTGATTAACACTGAAGATCAGAGATCACGAAAATACCTGACACTCAACATCTCTCAAGGAATCTTGATGCGGATAACAAGGCTGGTGTAATGGTTGCCATAATCTCTGAGGTGACGGCGCAACGAGCTCTATAATTTATATCAGAACGATTCGGTCTTTGGAAAGTAGTTGGATGGATCAAAAGAAATAGCTCGTTCGAAATCTGCAAAAGGTTTGAGATATTAGGATGGACACAAACGAGTAATGAGCTGCGTACCTTTCTGCGCTTCGGAGTCCCTTCTAGCTTGCGCCGCGCGAGAAGCAGCTTTCATGGACGCGTTTAACGTCATAAACGTTGGATGCCCCCTGGTTCCTATGGTTCTTGTCGGTATGGATAAGCGTCAGCTCTATTCAGCCAGTCTGTAGGTTCTTCGAGGACGACTTTGTATAGTGAGATAGTAGACGAAAAAACACCCATCTTTGAAGGAAATGATGCTTTTAATGGTGAAAATATTGATTAGTTCCAACGATATACAGTAATTCCGTGAACCTTGCCTTGTCTTTGCTTGAGTGTTTGAGTCTTTGTTGTGGATATCGTAAGGAATAGCGTGTGCGAAATCAGGGGTATATTCACTCTTATCCGTTCTCACGTTTTGTGTCTAGATTTAACCAGCTACATTATATATGCGACAACATCTCGACTTTCACTAGGATCCGTGCTTGATGAGTCTATGCTACTCTCCGTCCTCTTAGTCCTTATCTCTCCCTTTCGAATAACCCTTTGCCTCCTCCCCCTCTTTCAGACCGAGCGAAAAATAATAGTGGCAAAGCCGAAACACGTCTACTTGCAAGGTTTTTACATATTTATGCGAGTCTATGCCTCATGTACCCTAGTTTCTGCCTTCCTATGAACTCTATTCTATGCCATCTTTCTTCGAGTCATATCGAGGCGCTCACCGGTCTTTGTGAGCTCGTTTCATTTATGTGTGTCTGCTAATTAAATTTCAAGGGTTTCAAGGGACAAAGCTTAAGTTTAAAGTTCGAATGTAGGTCTATATTAAGTCGTGGATTCTCCAAAGAAGATCTTTGTGAAGCATCGTATAAAAATGGCTCCGACAGGAAATCCTTTCTCATAACCTTCATGCAGTCTACGCTACAATCAAGCGATCCGGAAGATGCAAGCGCCAGGGAACTTATTACCAATCTCTTACCAGCGAGTGGTGATGTCGAGAACGATGTTGAAGCGGCGGTCGTCCGTAATGAAATTTTAGTGGTCGATGGTAGCAACAGAGCAGCAGTCGATGTTGATGATGAAGACGACGACGCGGCGGTCAACGGTAGCAACAGAGTGGCAGTCTACGTTGGCGATGAAGACGACAGAGCGGCAGTCGATGTTGACGATGAAGACGATGACGCGGCGGTCGACGGTAGCAACAGAATGGCAGTCGATGATGACGACAAAGCAATGGTCAACGTCAAAGCCTCCAACACCGACGATGACGATAGACAAGATAAAAAGCAGGAAGTATGTTGCAATGGTACGGTACCACAACAACTTCCAACACTAACTAAACCTTGCAGTTCATCTTTGTCAACCGCTGGGTCTACTATTGTTACAAGGACACCTATATAGGTCGTGCCGCTAGACTTTCGTCCACCTTAAAGGTGAGTATCGCATCAGAAGAATCATAAACTCCCTTCTGAGCCTCCTTCCATAGGATCCAGAAACTGGTATTCAATATAAAAGTCTACAGTTTAGGAATGAATATCGTAGAGTCGAAAAGATGCACTGCGTAAAGTAGGTACACTAACTGCTCTAAAGCTAACTGTTTTTATGGACGGAAACATTTAGAATTGAAGCCACCGAAAAGGATCTTACAAATGCCCCTTCTATGTCGGGAACTTCCCAAAGATTGTTGGACTGAAATTGATCTAGTATGTGCTTTTGTTGCCTCATCGTCCTCGACATTTGAATTTATATCAGCACTTTCTGTTCTGCTTCATTACACCTTCGCATCGCAGCACACCTGGGCCTTGTTAGTTGCTATTCTACCCCTCGCTCTTTGCTCGTCCACAATGGCCGTCTCCAATCTTAACCTGTTAGTGCACATTCTGATAGTTCACTTTCGAGTTTTTCGGGACATATTGTGTATATACTGTATGTTCTCGCATGCCAATAACACTTACAGGGACTGGCAAGTGGTAGTGTGGGAGTGGTTCAATACAGGCTTGGTGTTCAATATATATCATACTACCTCATCGGCGGAAGCAATAGCGCGATATCAACAAACATACTGTATACGTTAACCAAGGTAGTTTTGTTTTTGGATATGGATGCCAGTTGGAACGCGTAGATGGTGGATATTATACAGTTCATGTGAACTGTATAATATCCACCAAGTCGTAAGGCGTAAACGTATGGATGTAGTACGATGCAGCTACGCGCAAAAACACTGAGTCTGCAATGCGTTACCAAATGAGATACAGCATATACAAGTAACAGATCGTGTCTTATTTATGTTGCATCCTCGATTAGAAATACAATATGTGGACCTCTGGAATGAGCTGGAATGAGCTAGGGATGTGAACTAATGAGTCCGTAGTCTTGATCTTGTTGTGTCGCATGTCGATATTCTCGTTAGTCTTTGTCATCGCTTGCCTCCTTCGCAATCCTCCCGTCCTCTTCTTCCCAGTCTGCTTCGTTTCCTCCTTCCATATGCCCCTCGTCCGACCTCGGTTCTGCAACGTCGGCTGCTGGTTGACCTGTCTTCTTAAACGCTCCACTTTTTTCAATGAAATTCGCAAGCGCTTCTATCCCTTCTTCACTACCAAGTATCTCTCCTATGTCGAGCTCGTCCGATACGTCCCGAAGGATCTCTCTATAGTCGTTGTATATTTCGCAGGATTGTATTATATGATCTCGAGTTTGGGGGCGCGCACCACAGGGGCATTGAGTTGGTTCTGTTGGAACAAATCTGGCGTAGTATTCACCTAGGAAGGCGTGTCGAGTTCGGCATTGAATGAGTCGTCCGTAAACTTCTCTTGGGGTGTTGTGAAAGTAATCTCTAGGTTTCCATCGAGGTGGTAGTCCGTCAGATAGTGCGAATCCACCTCGGAAGGGTCTGCGGTTGTGTTCCTTCTTCCAACTTTCTAACGCGTTGGCTTTGGATCGGCACTTTGCATGAGTGAAGGTGTGGAATGTGGGTGCCGAGTTTACCAGCTTCTTTGGCTAGTTCGTCCGCTTTTTCGTTGCCCTCTATTCCTTCGTGTCCTGGGCACCAGGCGATTTCTACTGTGTTTTGTGGGTCTGATTCCAGAAATGTCTCTATGGATCTTCTAAATCGTTGGGCATAGCCTTGGCAGGCTGCAACTGGCTTTTGGTCATATATTGTTGTGACGGCGGACGAGTTGTTGGCAAATATGAGGATGTGGTGGACAGCAGGAGAGATGATTGCATACTGGACAGCTTTCGCTGCGCCGTGTGCAAGTCCGGCCATCTTGGCATCATAGACTTCGGCCGTTAAACCCATTCCGCCCATTCTCGAGAATAGATCGTTACTTGGACACACCTTCAAAGCTCGCAAGGAGAGCAGCAGCTTTGAGGACGTAGAGGATACTGAGGGGAATAGTAGTTACTCTATGAACTCCTATATGCTCTTCTCATGGGCAGCGCACGGGTGTTTGACCAACGATGAAGTCTGCGCTCAATCATCGACAGATTCGGCTGGCACACTTATCTATTGCACCTGGTCCGCGAGCAACAGTTCAGGACGTGTGAGGGAAGCTGATAGGGTAGCAGCTGGCACTCAACTGACGCTCAGCTGACGACGCGCAGCCGACACGCAGCCGACGCTGAGCCGACGCGACTACAAAGTTCCACCTGTCCCAACAGATGGGAAACGTAGTACGAAATCCCAAGTTTTGCAATCCAGAAGAACAATAAACTCCCATTGATTTGGAGAAGTCCAGCATTTCCTTCACCCTTAATACAATGAATAAACCTACCTATAAAGAAATAATGAGTTACCCAAGGTGCGGAATAATTTATTTTATGCAAAATAGGCAATAGCTTAATTTATAATCAGTTCAGATATCTTACATTTCCTCGGGCAGGGAATCAAATTATTTCACATCACGTTTCCTCCTAAGGGAAACTTTGGAAACTGCGATGTGATAGGGATTGTGAACCTGATTCATCGTCCTCTTCCAGAACAACATCAAGATCACCACGATTTTGACCATGCCAAACCACGACTTTGACGGTTTTAGGCTTGCTAGATCTTTCAATCTAGAAGGGGTTCTCGTCTTCGGTAAGATCGATGAAACCGCCATCAGGTTTGGCGGGGAACGCATACCTATAAAGTACCGTATTGAGCAAAAAGAACAGGTTGTTGGAAAATGGATGTAGCGACTTAGCTTCCCGAGCATTCATCTTTCCTGATTCTAGCGAATCCATCCAGCTACAAAAAGTAAGTAAGAATTTAAAAGCTATGTTTTTCATACTGCTTCTAGATTGGAGCACAGATGGGAATTGAAGCACCCAGTGAAGATTGGTGTGTTGAGGCTTGTGATTGAGCTTGCATCTGAGCCTTAGCAAGCCGTTTGAGTTCTTTCTAAATCATCATGTGTGATAGGATATCGATTCTAGAAGGGAGACAGTAACCCTACCCGTTTTTTTCGATCTTCCCGGGCATGAGCCGATTCGAGAAGCAGTGATTAGGATTCTACTGCAAAAGGAAATATGGAGCCACTCAGATAAACGCAGTCTGAGGTCAAGACTTACACCTTTCAGTCCTTTCAAACTGACGGTGAATGCATCACTTTGGGTACGAGAGTCAAATTCTGATATTCATACGCGCTGTTTTAGAGGAGCTAGCATAAGCTTCGTCAAGTTGTCGTCTTTCTTCAATGAATGTTTCCCTGGATAACTGGATAAGAATCGAAAAAAAGAAAAAACAAATTTCATGAGTGCACCAGGAACACCCTTGATCAGATGCTTGTAGCTATTCTTTTTCTTCTTTTCCCCCTTACCGCCTGGTCCATTGTCATCATCACCATCCTGACCATCTGCAGCTGGAGTTTGGGCCATTGGCGCAGGCGCTACCTCTTTCCCTTTCCCTTTGTCTGATGCTCCCATCAGCCCATTTTGTCCTGTGGTCGGTGGAGAGGTCGATACTGCTTCATTTCTATCATTTGGTATTGGGGCATCATCAGACGATGCGTTGAAAAGTCGCACGTATTTGTCGTAAGCGTCGTGAAGATGCAACTTGCGCAGTAAATCCTGCGTGCTTTGAATATATGCCGGTAATTGCTGGAGACCTTTGGTTACATGATTTGAGTTAGTTCATGATTGTAATATTGATATGAAGAAGAGGACCTGGTGTTGGGAAAAACAGTTGTGAAGGTTGGTCGGCATGAGTGCGTGGTGTGTTAGAAGGGTTAGCGGAAGATGTAGGGTGAGATGGGGAACTGCGTGGAGTTGAAGAGCCTGCGACAGTGTTTGGGCTGGCACTTTCCATGAGATAGGACTCGCCGTTGTCGCCGTTCAGGGCAAAAGATATTATTGACTAAACGTGACAGGATGTCGTTTGATCTTGTTTGAACCCAATGTGGTCGGGAACTTCCGAAAATGGGTTCTGCAGTTCTGAGTTCAACCATAGTTCAACGTTGAGTTCTCCACAGTGTTTTCTCAAAAAAGTATCCACACGGCCTTTTTCGTTCTCTCTTTCTCCATCGTCGACTCCTGTGAAAATGATTGTCCTCAAAACATCCGATAACGAAACGTTCAATGTTGACAGGGAGGTTGCTGAGCGTAGCGTTCTGATCAAAAACATGCTCGACGGTACGTATTTGTGCCACTGATATAAAGTTATTTCACTGAACTTTTATCAGATATCGGTGAAGATAGTGATCAGGCTATCCCTCTACCAAACGTAAACTCAAGCGTCTTGAAGAAGGTGAGTTTTCAGTTTCAGCGCTCAGGAATCCATCATAAGACACGCTGAACGATGTTTTCCATCGTAGATTTTGGAATACTGCGAGCATCATCGTGGTGAGCCTCTGCCAGCAGCCGATGCTGACCAGAGCCAGGACGAAACTCGGAAGCGTACCACAGACATCAGCGAATGGGATCAGAAGTTCATCACTGTCGACCAGGAGATGCTTTTCGAAATTATTCTTGCCGCGAACTACCTGGATATCAAATCTCTGCTGTGCGCCCGAGTTCCCCCTTAACTGTGGAAATAATGCTTACGGGAGTAACTTAGTGACGTTGGGTGCAAAACTGTTGCGAACATGATCAAGGGTAAGACCCCTGAAGAAATCCGGAAATTGTTCAATATTTACAATGACTTTACGCCTGAGGAAGAGGTACGTCTCTCGGAATCTCGGACGTTGCCGTCGCATGCTGATATCATTCGTCGCATCAGGCTCAGATCAAGAAGGAGAATGTGAGTTTTTCCATGCGCATTATTGTTTGTCTCTTGACTGTAATTATTTTCATAGGAATGGGCTGAGGATCGATAGAGTTGATTGTTTTACTAGCATTCCACTTCGTCTGTACTTAATTTCATATTGCTTTCCTCTGTTCCGAACGTATATGAGCTGCAAGGCTCTTGTATTTTTAACTTGCACTGGTCTGACTTCCCAGTAAAGGTTGAGATCAAAGGACAGTATTAGTTGAACGCGTGATCGAGCTTAGACGATAGTCTACGCAAGGCTAATAGCAGGTGAGTGTAGCCTTCAATGATACACACCACGCTTAGGCCATCTCCACCCAAGCTGCGAGATGGCCGCTTAGCAGTGTCGCAGCCAGCTTCACCTCAAATATTAAATTCTCCTTTCTTCTTGCCTACGTAGTTGACATATATACGCCGTTGGTCTTCGCATAATATAAGTACTCACCTCGGACTTCTTCCTTTGCCTCCCTCTTTTCTTCCTTCACTGATTCTACTAGGTATGCTCAATGTCTGTCCCCCATATTATTGTACACATCTCATGGTTATATCTATCTTCTTCCTTCACTGATTCTACTAGTTATGGTATGCTGTTTATCATCGCCCACCCCTTGCTATCTACAATACCTCAGTTTCCTGCCCTGTGTCAGACCTCACTAGGCCTCACTTCTTGTACCACTATCATCCTGATATCAAAACGGCCATCTGGGTCGGTTTTTCACTGGCTAAACACCTGTCCACGGGTCGAACCAAAGCAATTGGTCGTCTTGAAGCGAACCTCAATCATAATTGTTCCCACTACAACGGAATTGAAAAAGCTTCACGCCTTAGTTTTCTGAGGTACTATTGTCTGAATTTTATCGTATGCAAGCTGTTCTACATAGATGTTCTACATACAATTGCCGAAGCACTTTAGACAACTACATCAATGCTCATCATGTCCTATTTCCTCTTACCTCCCAAATACCTTGAGATTTGGATATTCTCATACACAAGTCTACACAGGTGGTTCACAGACGTACGGCCGGCAACTCAAGAACAACAATCGCACCGAATTGGACTCCATCCCCATCACTGTCTATTGAACCCTGGAGTCACCTATGATAATCAGATTGGCATGCAGTGCTATGCGGCTATGCCAATTCATCCGAAACATTTAGTGCAGTACTTATTTGTGGTCGTACGTCGGCCTCGTCCTTTCGTGCAAACCATATGATCCAGATTGGGCAATCCACCTACCCGTCCGGCTTTCGTCTCAGCCTTCTCCCTCTCACTTTCCTCCGTGACTCCGCTCATCAAGTCCATCCACCAGTCGCAGATCTCCATAACGACACGGAATTTCCCCCAATTTCCCCGGCCTTTTCGAGCTTTCGCATCAGCTGTTTCTTTGTTGTTGTTTTGAAAAATAATCTTCTTCCTGTATTCCTATCCTCAATCGCCGAATGGCTATATAACAGGGCACTGTTATTTCTTAGATCATACTTGAGTCGCTGACTACTTGTTTCGAGCGTCCATGCCTGCTACGGTCTCCTTCTGAAAATCTATACGATGGATTCCAGATCAAGCCTCTGAGCCTTTCGATACAGTTGTTCTGACTGGAGGGAAGACCGGTGTTTTTCTCGATGTACGCTTTTTGAAAGATTCAAACGAAGTCGAGTGGGCTTTTGCTGGATATCGATCAACAGGTATGTACTATGCTCACTCTTTACATGTCTCGTTCCCTATTACTGGTTGGCCGATTAGCTGATACCGCTTAGTCCTGCTAGGAAGTAGACTTGTTGAAGTTGTTCAATCAATTCTTTGATTGAATATGATCTCTTAGAAGTAGTAGACTATGGCTCTAACACTGTGCTGTCTGATGGAACGATCCTTGAGAAAGGAGAGATGATGAATCCAGAGACCGGAAGGCTCACTGCCTACGAGGAAGTATGGCAGGACGAAAGTTCTGACTCGAATCAGGCAATTTTCTTGCAGAATGTCAAATATACTAGTTGGTATGCACAAGTTGGACATTGGCAACTCGCTGTTGGGCGTGATTCCGCCGGTGTATTCTGGGCTTTTCAAGCCCACTCAATCGATGGAGATTGGATGGTAGTACACAATCTCGGTGTGACTAACAGCGGAACGGTTACCCTTTTGCCGGAAGATACCTCCCACTGGGCAGAGGGAAGAGTACTGGAGTGGAATGGCGATCGCTGGCTGGTGCTGAAAAAGGAGTAAGAGGTCGGCGAGTGATGAATACAATCAATGGTTGCAAAAGAAATAGTGTACAGATCTACAGTGTATCTCTGACAAACCCGAGAGCTCCCAGTGACGAAGCAATCAGTTCAAGGATTCTCTGGCTTTCGGTACGCTGCACCTTCATCAATCGCTCCACGTCGTCGTGTAACTCAGAAGGAAGGAAGGAAGGAAAGAACCGACACAGTTTGAAATTATCGTGTCCGCGTGCATGCGAAGAAATACATTGAGGAATGCCTGAACAGCTTCAAACTCTTGATGTGATAATAATCTTTGTGTCAAAGCATTGATAAAAGTTTGAAGACTGTCAAGTGTAACCAAAGACTGAAGTTCAAGGTCTGCAGCTGCAGCTAAAAGGGTTTTGGAAAAAGAGAAGAATGACTCGTCTAGCGGAAGTAAGTCGTTGATTTATGTCAAGACTCCGACGAACTCACAATCCCCATTGACATCCTCCCCATGAAGTTGTTGTAAGAATACGCTCTCGGCATTCTGTATTGCTTGTTCTAATCGTCGGGATAGATTTTGCGACGCGCTCTTCTTTGGCTCAGTTACAAATCTGGTCTCAACACCAGGCAATGTCGGCAAGAAGAATGGCGCTTTTTCAGGAGCTTTTGGGGGCTCCTTCGGTTTGTTCCGTTGCTGAAGAATTGTCCATTAGTGACAATGACGCCATATAAACTATCATGTGTATACCTGTATAATCTCTAAATTGAGAAGGGTCTGCCATTTTGAGCGCGGGAGTAATGTCAACGTGATGAGATCACCATCCAACTTGGGAGGCGTCGAAAACACACCAACTTGGGCGGCCAGTGCTTCTAATGGCGATAGCGACTCTAAAGGTGTCACATGAGTATGAATTACGATACATGATACAAAAGTAATCAGAGATACCTTCGCCCTCGGCTACGCCTTGCATCAAGGGAAGATCAACAATTGCGATTTCATGCTCAACGACAGTTTGAAATGCAACTTCGGTATACTGGGCTCGATTCGCCTGGCTCCCATGTGAGCTTGGAATTGTGTGAGGCAAGAGGATCTACGAGCTTAACATAAGAAAACACCAACGCTATTAACATGGGCTGTGGCGATAAAATCATTGGTGGATGAAAATGACACACTAGTCGCTACACTAGATGTCCTGAAGGCATCAATGTCCGGTGGGTATATCGAAAGTCCGAATTATTGAGTCCAATGAAGTGGTGATAAGCCACCTGGAGTCAGGTGAAAATGTCTGCAGAGAGTATTATCAGTTACACCCTTCAATTCGGTATTGGATGGAGACAGCGTTGACAACCATACAATGTCTAAAACACAACCACGGAATCCCCCGAACTCTCTGACCACTGTTTTTGTCTCTATGTCCACTAATCGGACAACCATGTCATCACACACAACTGCTAGTAGCCCATTGTCCCGCTGAAGGACCATCGATACCGCAGCCGATGAAGTGTGATCAAGGTTTGCTGTATGGAAATCGAAGAACTACCAAAATCAATCAAGATAAATAATGACGGTCGAATCGTAACGCACATTGACAGTACCATCAAGGGTGCTCGCTATAACTACTGGGTTCAATGAATCCGTCGCAAGGCCGGTCACAGAACGCTCTTTGATTCCTTTCTCCGTTGTTTGGAAGCGACCTGCAACTTCAGGTGGACATGCTCCAACGCGAAATGTTCGTCGTCGTATTCCAGACTGCATATTCCACATATGTATGACGCCAGTAGAGGAACCCGCTAGCCCAAAGTTGCCGCAGGCTGTTACACAAACAGACTACGATAGTAAATCAGCTGACCATCAGTTGAGAATTGGAGGCATTTAACCTTTGCGGAGCCAAGAGGAGGAGCACGTTCCTTTCCTTTAGCCCCGAAGGTATCAGCAAAGCTAAAGTTGTGTTTGCCAAGTTTTTTGTTTTGCATCGACCATGTTCGCGCGAACGTTTCATCGGTATGTGCAGTGAGAATGTCGTCCCAATCTTTTGTGCGAGCAGGAGAATGTGATATTGCAGTGATCGGAGGAAATTTTAGGTTCGCCACTGGTATCGACAGGCCGCTGGCCTTTTTAGCAAGGGATCCTAGAAAGTTTGAGTATTTAGGTTTGCATTATTAATACATGATGCGAAAATTTACCTTGTGATAACTCAAAAGATCTCGAGTCGCAAACAACCGAAGTACATCGAAGGCTGCGATCTCTGGAAGCCGTCAAGAGCTGTTTGCCATCCTCTCCATAATAACGAATAAGATGTGGAGGGGCGTGATGTCCAGAACGAAATTTCAACAGCCGAAGGGCAGCGGAAGGGGTGTCGAACAACCATTGCTAAAGGATATATTTTTGAGTCGCCAAAAATGACATTCGGTATAAGCCGCATACCTTGATGCTATTGTCTGCGCCAGAAGTGATCAAGACAGGTTGATTAGGGATCCATTCAGGAGCGCTTATAGTGCCATCGTGAGCTCCTTGTACCATATGCAATAGACGGCCACCTTCATTCAGGTCCCATATAGCAATATGTCCTAAGGACGAGGCAGAAGCCATAATGGGTTGCCCATCTGAGAAAGATAAGTCGTCCAAGATAATTTGGCGAAGTCAACCTACACACCACTTCGAAAGCCCAAGGCACGAACGCTACCACCGTCCATGAACATCCTCATCAATCGCTCATCTGTCCGTACATCATAGACTGATATTTCGCCTGATGCAAATCCAATTCCGACCACATCTATGGCGGACAATTGCGTGAGAGCGGTGATTGCGGAACCCTCTGAAGCAGAGGAAGAGAAGAGAGATGAAGTAGCGAATTTGTGTATGCAGGTTCTGTTAAAGGCGATTCGATATAGGTAGCTCGACAAGAAGAAGAAAGTACTCACTGGGAGCGGATGTTCCATAGTTGCACTGCACCTTGACTGCTTGAAACAAGAACTTTGTTCAGATATGTAGCTGGATGGAGTATTAATGTCGCAGTGAAATCGTTGTCAAATTCAACGGTTGTTTCCAGCACTACGAAAGAGGTTAATGAGGCCATGGAGTAATTGAAGAGAATACAACCATGCCTTGATACATGTCTGGGCTCGGAAGAGACCGGGAATCTTGAAGTTGATACAGTGGCTCTGAAAATCGCGGGGATCTATACCTTGAGTCCATCATTTCAGCTCCAGTAACAGGCGCAGAAAGCGTAGACTTCTTCCTGAGGGCCTTCAGTTCAGAGGCCACCTCTGAGAACAGAGGTCGATTCAGAGGATTCGTTGCCCAGCACAATCGAATGAGGTCAATGAGATCGGGAGATGTAAAACATGTTGGAGGGACTTCAGGACGTTGGTTGGCTGTTGTAGAAACAGCATAAGGAACAGCACAGCCAGTTAGTCGCGAACTCACTCACCCATTATATGATTCTGAACTTGATTGTCATCATATAAAGGCCACGGCATACGTGCAAGCGACAAGACTTCTGTACAGCAAATTGCGAATGCGTAGACATCCATTTCGACAGTGAGCTGACTAGATCCAGCAAAAATTTCAGGTGCCTGCCAGCGAAGAGTACCGTCTTTGTTAAAGGCAAACTAAGTCAATAAATACCAAGCCTAAGGAGAAAACTGATGAGGAAGGGCAGTTCCACTAATTCTATATGCCTCTGATCTCATTTCACTTTGCCCGAAATCTGAAATAACACAATGAATCTTGTCGTCGACAAGAACATTAGAAGCCTATATCCAATGAGAAAACATAGGGAAGGGATTGATCAGTGATTTGGGTGTGACCTGTAACAAAACTTGCCTTTAGATCTCCATGTAAAACTCCCTGACCATGCAGATATTCCATACCCTTGGCAATCTCATGCATAAACCTCAATAAATCCAATTCTTTCGGGACATTTTCTACTCCCGAACCTGAATTTTTGACATCTGCGTTTCCAGCACTTCTAATGCTATCTTCAAGAGAGCCAGACCCACTAGTGTCAGCCCTTGTTGGACCTCGAATATGAGCTTTCGACGCAAGATGGGGTGGGATTGGAGAAGCGGATGATACATCAGGTGGATTAGCAGCATTCGGTCCAAGACCCAAGCCTAGGCCAATACTCGCTTAATCTAAAGTTGCTGTGGACGTATGCAGGTCAAAACCCTGTATAGCCACCTGCCTCCCTAGTCCACCTGCTGTAGATGGTGATAGTCCAACTGGGTAATAATCTTGCCAGGTCCTCCACTTCTTCGTGACTTCCGGTCTTAGTCCTGCTTTGAACAGCCGTACTTCGACTCATTCTCCTCAGCGCATCGATCCCACTCTCAATGAACTCCTTGTCCAGCGTATCTTTCTCTCTCGTATATTTCTTTCCACAAACGAAACTTTTTGAAACACCACTACCCGACCTAGACTCAGATCGCGACCAAGCCGAATCGGTCGTCGTCGCAGTAGAGGAAGTAGAAGATGAAGACGAGGTCTTAGAGCGCATCAATCTAGCTCCAACTTTGCCTCGCTTTGATCTTAGTTTGCCTACTTCAGGTTTACCTCTATTCACATTTTCATCTCCCTCAACCTCCTCATCAATGATAGTCTCATTCAAGTATGTTTGGAATCCTAAGGAGGCAGCAGTGGATGAATACGATCGAGAGCCCTGTAAACTCATCCGCCGCTTGATTCCCGACAGCATCTTGATACTTGAGGACGAGGAGGAAGAGCTGCGAGATTCAAGTCCGGGCCTGTTATATTGCTGTTGGACTTGAACTTCTCGAGACTTCACTTCAAGTGATTGATGAGAGCTGATTTGGGAAATGTGCGATAGCTGCGTTGGAGCTAGGTTTGAGACGTCTTCTTGTTCTTGCTGCTGCGCCTGTAAATCCTCCCATCTCTCTCTCTCCAGGATCGCCTCGTGAGCCTGTTGCAGGGTCTTGATAGCCTCAGCCATTTCACCTGCGTCCAATCCAGAACTCTCTAGTGCCCCTTCTTCTCCTCCCATTCCGCTTCTACCTCTGCTCAAACCTTCTAGCTGACCTACAAACCCCCTTCCCAGCCTAGCCTGCCTCAGACCAATACCCAACACCCTGAGGATCTCCACGTCGCTGCCTTTACTCAGTGCCGTACGCATTACTTCTCTCAAATCCGCATAGTCAGACTCGGCATCGAGAGCGACTTGGTGGCGGGTTAGGGATAGGAGCGTAGGAAGGACCTGGGTCGGAGGAAGGGAGGAGGCAGAGAGAAAGAGGGCGGGGGGTATGGGATGGGTAGTGGTGTGAGAGGCTGTTGTTGAAGTCGCTGTGCAGGTTGCTGCAGAAGTCGTGGATGTAGACTCGACGCTGGTGGCCCCCGGAGTTACAGTACAAATGGACGTCGAAGTAGAGGAAGTTTCAAGACTCGATACCTCGACTTCCGAAGATCCTACAGAGACATTGCCCTGGCGCTGAATCGCATTGAGCATGGCTGCGGCAGCCTCGATGCTCGACTTTGTTGGAATCAACTGGATAGGAGGCTGGGGAAGCGAAGACTTTTGTATCTGACCCGAGCGCGTCTGCAGTGCCGCTGAAGAAGGAGCATTGTAGGACTCAGTTGTGATTGAGCTTTCAATCTGAGTAGATGTAGTAGACGAGGACGTAGCAGTCGAAGGCCTAGACGAGGACGTAGCAGTCGAAGGCCTAGACGAGGACGTCATTGACACTGAAGGTATCACCGTACTCGTATCTTTAGGAGAAACAGGTTCGGGCGGGACTTGTACAGAGCTCAGAGGGGGGGGAATTTTGCCAGTACTCATCATCTCCGAGCTATTGTTCGAATTGTAATTCCACGAATATGCTTCTATTGATTGATCGTTTGACTGGTCCACTGATACTGATTGTGATTGCGATTGCGACCAGGAGGAATGGGAGCTGCTCGCGGGTAACCCATGAAGACCAGGGATGAGACTATGTGAAGACGCCGAGGCTGAGGCAGTCGTGGGAACGGATCTAGTTCCACTCAAGGAGAGAAGGCTTGAAGCGGCATACGGGAAAGGCGGCCGCGCAGATGTGGAGATACCGCTCGATAGGGAAAACGGTTCCATAGGTAGTTGACTATAACTATATGCTTGCAACACCTTGGGCGTTTGCAAGTCTGGCGCTCCCAAGGCAACCGGGGTCGTTGGCATCGAATAGCTCGCAGGGTCAGCCTGGATAGGATACCCGTGTTGACTCAAATGGCTCAGATTAGCTACACTCCTCAACAATTCCTGGGTATCATGCTGTCTTCGAGCTTCTGCGAGCTGCACTTGCTTGAGAATACGGATTTGAATCGAAATCTGGATATTACGGGCAAAAACTCAGAGCGAATAAGATAGTATCGAAACTGTACTCACGCTGAACATACCCAGCGCCTCCTGTAACCCTACGTCACATTGATGAAGTTGTTTCGAAATCTCGTCTCGCTTCAGGTATCTCTTCAAGAATGGTCTCCCGGCTTGTTTGACGAGGAGTGCATGGACGTCATTGAACAATCTGAATGAAGCATCGATTAAACATCCCGTGCAGATATGATAATAACTAAACATAAAAGCTTACTCTGTCAACTTATCAAACGGTAATCGCAACTCATCTTCGACTTCATCCCCGGCTTCATACACTTCTTGACGGACAGAGAGAAGGATATCAGCGCAGTGCTCGGTGAGGCGGAGACATTGGAGGCGGTTGGACTATTTCCAAACCAATTAGCAACAGATGAAAAGGAACAAAGTCGTTTACGAAGAGAAACACCACTCACATCAACTTGTTGCAAACAAGCCCAGATCTGTAGCAAGGTCCTTGCCGCGGCCTGAAGGCCTGGCACTGGAGCAAGCTCGACTAAATCGACGGAGGTGACGAGAATTTCGTGTGCAATCAAGGCAGATGTCCCGAGAATGGAGGAAGCAGCTTGAGCTACACGCTACCAAGACAATGAAGGTGAGCATACAGAAGTACAAATGGGCAAGTGGTACACACCTTCCTAGTGATTTCCCAATTCTCCATCTGCTCCACTGGAACAGTTCCAGTAGTATCATTGTCCTTGCCCTCCTTACCTTCCTTTGTCGGTGTACCTGTGGCCACACTATGCCTCCTCGGCCTGTCCTTGCTTGATGGAATGCCAAGGTCTCGAATGACTTGAATCGCTCGAGCTAAGCAACTTCTCCTCGTCACGGCGCCAGAATGAAGCACGAGATGATGTAACTATAGCAAGTTCATTATTCCTTAACTTCTCCAAAGTCGGATAGAGGATGAACTCACGGGCAAGCGCAGGCGGAATACCATTGGGGCTAGTTACCTTGCCTACTCCTGTGAAGGGCTTGGGGGCACTCCCACTACGCACCCGAACACGAGAAGTTCTCACATCGTTGCTTGGGAAGGCTTCCGGGCGGAGGGTCGCCGAAGGACTAAGTAAACCAGGAGTTTGAGTTGGGGAACGAACAGGAGAAGATGTAGTTGACACCGTGGACAAAGTTGTAAGCTCAGACCCTCCGGCAGTGTTCATTGACAGACTCAGTCCTGTTCCTCTACAAGGTTTGTCGGGGGAAGGTTTGAACGGTGAGCCTAGTGACGGCGTGGATTGATGTGCGTCTGGAACACACAGAGGAGTAGTGTCACCTCTAGCTTCGCGCCCAGGAGAGGGGAATGACAAAGGCGAGTTATAGGGAGACGCGGGTCCAGAGAACGACGCGCTGTGTTTGTGATTTGGACTGCAGTTGACGTTGTGAGCTCCAGGATTTAGAGGCGAGGAGTGACGCGGAGTGGTGGACAAACTCGCTGGCAGCGAGCGACGATGAGCGTGACTATGCTGTGGTAGGCGATCTTGGGTTACGCAGTCTGCAGATTGCATACTGTATACTGTATACGTCGGCGAATGTGGAAGAATAAATTCTATGTTGTTCGTGATATTGTTCGTAAAGATAAATATAAAAGGGTGAAGGCGGAAAGAGAGGGATTTCGTGCAGCTGAATTGCTGATGTAAGTAGAGAAAAATAAAAAAAGTCGTGATGGTCGTAGAAATACCCTGAGAAGGGCTTCTGTTTGCGCACCCTGGCGCGAGAAGCCAGTGAAAGTCTCAAATCGGAGGAAGGGCGTCGGATCGAATTTGATGCACGTGACTGGTGTGATCGAGCTGGGATTGCCTGCCGGGCTCTGCCGGCTTGCTACCCACCGTGTCTTTCTTCGCTGTTTACAGTGTTACGACCGCCGCCGAAGCCCAATTCGAGAGGGATCGAAATGACAAGGTGCTTATTCACTAAGAGCTACGGGGTCGAAGGACAAAGCAGCAAAAATTGCAAGTCCTAATGTCGACGCTAAATACCATGACCCAGTCCGCAAATTCAAATGTAGACGGTTGAAGCATCGCTGTGCGTGCATACCCCTACTCCACAGAAGAGCCAGAGCGTCCCACAAGCCTCATAGCAAACGTATGCCACAAGCTGGCCACAAACCATTCTTGAGTACACTCTCCGTGTCTGGCGAGCTTGCATTCATTAACTCCGCAGATAGGGAGAGGATCCGGATATGCAGAACGCTACGTCTGTAATCATTGATCAAGGGCTAAAACTATATGACATCTGCGTTTATGACGTAAACGGTTTCATTCCTCCTCCTCCTCCTCCTCCTCCTCCTCCTCCTCCTCCTCCTCCTCCTCCTCCTCCTCCTCCTCCTTGTTCTCACCAACAATGCTCATATCTACCTTTCTCTTCTTACCAGGCATCTCCTTACCAGCATCAAAGACAACGCCAGCCTTTTTCCGAAGCATCTCCAAATTCTACTCTGCCTCCTCCACCTACTCGGGAAGTAATTGCCTTCCTGACAAATGTGTATGACGGAGAGCAGCACTGACATTTTCTGCTTCTTGCCTTGACGCGATATCAAAGAATGAAAAGTGAGACAATTGAACGGGGTTCACGTACCCAAATAAATCCCGGATATCTTTCTTTGTCGTCTTCAACGTCTCGCACCACAGTATTGATGGTTGACCGAGGAACGGCGGTAAATGAAACGGATTTTCCGGCAACCTTAATTGACAACTTCTTCGAACCTCGAAATTATGTATGTGAAATCTAGAAGTTTGAATTGCTCAATGAAATTTCTATTCGAGCCTGTCCAGCAACCATATCAGAGTTCCCCGAATCCTCAAGATATCTTCATTTGCCGTAAATCAAGCAACTAACGGCATGAGTTATAACGTTTGCTGATCCTGGAGGAGCCTGGAGGTTATTTCCGCTAATATGTCTTTAATCTTCCCCTCTCCCCCGCCCGCGCGAGCTTTTCCCCCTCCCCCCCGCTATATCGGGCAACGTTAATCTATTCAAATTTGTATTTACTTCAATCCCACATGAGTCCGTAGGTGTTTATTCAAACATTTGTTTATAGGGTTTTCTCCATACGATCGGATAAACCGCTTGGCTGGTAAGTATAATTTACATGTAATTATAATGGACTATCTTCTGATGTTGTTCGATATAGTCCTAATGATTTCTCTACACCATTCTACCATCTCATCACATCCGACTTCCAACACGAATAAAACTACCACTATCTAAAATCTAACGTTGGATATGTTATTACGGATTTGTCTTCGATTTGGCGATGGTCGAAAAACGGTGATGATCATGGCTCAAATTTGTCGCGAGATGAATGATCGTCTCAGTGGATACCTTTACACAAACGTTACAGAAAGGGACATCGAGGTGTTTGTCATGCCCTGACCTACCTCCCATAGCCCCGACCGACTCTGAAGAACCTCCCTCCCTTTACCTTAACTCCCCATGGAACTGCTTCACTCATCCCAGGACCTCCCGGGTCCTCCATAAGCCTCCCAGCCTCAACCCAGCCTCGACAATACACCCCGAGTTTCCATGATACATCATTCCTTAGACCTTCCGCCGCAACAAACCCCATTTAGCCCTAATCTCGATCAGTTACCTCACACATACCAGATTCCCCAAATGCTCCCATGTTCACTTCCCATACCTATTTAAGTAGTACCGCAATGTCCCCAAGACCCAGCTTTTGCATAGGTCCAGTCCCTGTCCCTTTGTACCTGCTAACCATACGGATTTCTCTTTACTCTCTGTTTCACTACCTCTGTTTCTCTCAACTCTTGTCTATCGTCTCTGTGATCGTCTATACGATCCAATACACGCTTTTACTTCACGTCTAAGCAATCCGAGTGAGTCTCCGAGCTCCCTCGAACATTACTAAAGCTCCTCAACGCCTACCCGCCTTGGTGAGCTAACCTCCCCAAACCTCCTCGAGCTCCCTAGCTATTCTATAGGCTTCAGGACCTCGATCTAGGTAACGTTGAAGCTACCCCTCACGTCGAACTACGTACTGCTTCTCCGTTACCACCTCCCACACTCGAGGACATCCATCCTCAAGCCTAGCCCCCAGGGACCTACCCTCCCTGGCACATCCCTTCTCGGGAGCTTACACCCTCGAGACCCATCTACACATACGACCTACTCGATCCTATATTGACGTTCTAGCGAGTACAACTCCTACTACGCAATATCGTACGGTCCCGCACTCTTCCTTAACCTCCCTACGCCTTAGGGACCTCCCTGGACCTCCTAGGAACCCCTCAAGGGTCACCATCCCGTTGTTCCAGCCACTACTAGGTCATTCCTGTCCTCGGTCGCGGTTCTCGTAGCTCCCTTCGAGCTCCAGCCTGCTCCTAGCACGCTACAACATAAACCTCCACATACCAAAACCTACCCTAAGACCTATTTTGACCCAGGTCTTACATTATACCAAGCTCTCCCGTCACCGAACGGACTCGTCGCGACGAAATGTCGGCGACGTCAACGGAACGACCTTCTAGTTCCAAGGCCGAATCAAAGAAACAAAAGAGCGCCTTATCTCGTGGAAACATGACACAAGCTCAAAAATCGAACCAGGCTGCTAGCTCCACTGTCATCACGGTGGCAGCTGGTCAACGCCTGATGTCCATCCCAGAACAGTCGTTCGGGGATGAAACCGCCAGCAACATCCGGACCCCAGAGGGACGTCAACCGGAGGTTCAGGGGCCCCCCCCAGTGGAACCTGGGATGGGACCACCACAACGGAAGTATACCTCCATGGGTTACGCCCAACCTGCCAGTAGCCCCATGGGAGGTTTCGCATACTCCCCTACCTGGGGAATGAGAGGACCTCCCCCTGGACCGGTACCACAGCTAGACATGGAGTCAGCTTCGAACGCGGGTGGAAGAGTCAGCGGCCAAGTAGCCGCTATCGAAAGGATACAAGGGGAAAGTACTGACCCTCTCACAGTACGACAACAGGAGAAACTTCCAGAGAGGAGGGTATCCCCTGCCGTATCCGAACAATCTCGGACGTCATCCCGGAGGTTGCCAACGCCTCCAGTACAGTCCCTTAACCTTCCTCCCCTGAGACGAGGAAGTTCGCTCTCCAGTCTCCTGAAGAGCCCAGCTATGAATATGCCCAACTGGGAGCGTACACATGCAATACACCATAGCAGGACCAACTTCCCAGTACAACCCTTGTCCGAAATGACATTGCGTCTGGAAGACATCATTCAAATTCAGGAGTGTATCCCGGAGGATGTAGCTATGGTCCTAAGGGAGGTATTGGAGTCAATGGGGATCGAAATATTGGGAGACAGTCTCGAATTCTCAGACTTACGAGTACAGTTCCTGACAGTGGGAACTCAACTGGAGATAGACCTCCCAGAGAAGGCCCAGCAGTGGCTGATTACCCCCGCAAACCGATCAGATTTTCTCTGGCTGTACAACATCCTGTTGGACCCAGAGAGGATGTTGGAACTGTTAGAGGCAGAGGCACGTTACAGGCGATCGTTCCGAAATTCGAGGGGAATACTTCCCCTCCTCCCTCATACCCATGGAAGGGAAAAGGAATTCTGTGGAGAAGCGGGGCTGCGTATATTGTACCGAGCATCTAACTACAGATCAGGAGCTGTACGATTTGAACCTCCCCCTTCGAGGGTTAACATTCCGAACTACCAAGCGATCCAAATACTTCGGAACACAAACCTAGCGGAGGCAGCAGCTAAAATCGATGAGGAAAGTAACGAGGATGCTAACGCAATCACTGCAAAAAATCGTAGGCGCAGAAGATACACCACGGCTCACCTCCTGGCCCCAGTGGAGTCAATGCCTGATCAGGATAGTCCCGTCCGGGTCCGTAGCGGACAGACAGTGTACACGTACACGCCCATGAGGCATATGCACCAGCTTCTGGTGAGGAGTGAGGAATCTGAAGCGATGTTGTGTTCGCAGGAGACCCGACACCGGACGTTACTAGCGGAATCAGACACTCTGATGCTGTCGAAGGAACTTTCTGGATCGAATCTAGAAAGAGCTTTGGAATTCCGTCGCAGACTGGTCGCGGATAATCGGGGAACCTCATATATGGTTCAATGCGAACCAGAGAGTGTAGGGGGGGGTTTTCTGCGGGAGGTTCCAGTTCCGGGAGTTCGAGGATCGGGGTTTCTGTGTGAGTGGCGGCTAGATGAGAGTACAAGATCTCCTCGTCTGGGACTTCTTCTATCGTTACTCGAGGAGGCTTTACTGAAAGTCATCCTTTCTCCCAATCAATCTCCGGATTTACCTTCCGTAGCCAGGGGAGTCCAAGGATGATGTCTTCACCTCCTAGGTTGGTGATCAGAAAGTCCATCCATCGCTCTTGATTATCCACTGCGAGTGCTAGACGTGCAAAATGGGTTATCCGTCCAGCTCGGTTAGGTGTTCCATCGATATTAAAAACGTCGATTGGTTTATGGAGGGGTGCACATCTTACATGGTTCCGGGTGACAAAGTCTTGGTTTAAAAACAGGGCGGTAGCTCCACAGTCTACCATGGCTGCAGTTGTTATACTGTGATTCCTTCCTCTTAGTCTCGCATGAATTCGGAAATGTGGGGAAGTAGAGTTTAATTCCCAGATCGACGATATTGTACATGATGGGTGCGAGTCATACGAGGAAGTAGCGAACATAACAAACTGATTACGGGGTACTCTTGGTGCAGCCGAAGCGGGTACCCTCTTTAAAAACCCTGTTGAAAGCCAGAGGACGAGGAGGACATAGCGTTAGCACGATCAAGTAATTCCTTTATTTGACCAATCTGATTGGAAAAATCCTGGTTAGGGGGGCTCGGAGTAGCAGCTACGGGTGCAGGAGCAGATGTTGGGGTCGAGGACGCGATTTGGACGGATTCGTTTGGGAATAGGGAGAATGGCGCGGGTCCCGTAGCGGATATCTGTTGGCGTTGAGGTTGCTGGCGTCGGCCTCGGTCTCGTCCGAGTCCCATGTACTTGTCTTGGCAAACTGCTTCCAGATGTCCTCGGCGTCCACAGTAACGGCAGGTGGTTTCTCGGTGTGGGCAGTTTTGCTTGACATGACCTTGGGCACCGCAGCCGAAGCATCGTCCTCGCATGCGAGCTAGGAATGCTTCCCTAGTATTCCCATTACTGGTGTGGGTTGCATCAATGTCCATAGCGTGGGGGTCAGCAGGGGTAGTATGAGCGGTATGCGTGGAAGGGTATCCAGAGTTCCGGCCAGTCATGGTGGGATCGTGCAGGTAGACATCCACCGATATGGCCCGTTTGATTGCCTCCTTCAGAGTTGGAGCAATTCCTTGGGCAATGTTTACGGTGATGAGGTGTTGTCGGATCTCTGGGAGTAATGCAGTGAAGAAACGTTCCCGCAAGTCAATATCAGACATTTCAGTCCGATCTCCGATATCCTTGAACTTCTGAGCGAATTCCGCAACTGTCTGTCCTTTACTTTGCCTGAGATTCTTGATCTCGCTACGGGCTTCCATACCTGGGTCCATTGGTTCAAACCGTTGGCTAAATTCCTTCAGAAACGCCTCCCAATTTCCTCTGAAAGGGGGATTTTCCGCA